GGATGTCCAGCTCACTATACATGTGTTTGTTAATTCAGGTACTCCCTTTTTTGCTACTTTTGTCTATGCTTCTAATGAGGGGGTAGATAGAAGGAGTCTGTATAGGGATTTGGTTAAGTTACGAATTTCTCAGTTGCCTTGGGCCATTATGGGTGATTTCAATGCTATTAATGACCCTAGTGAGGCTTCTAATAACCCTGCTTTTAATAGTAGTATGGAGGAGTTTAAAAATTGGCAGGACCAGTCTGAGGTTATTGAGCATAAATCAGTAGGTCCCTGGTTTACTTGGATAAACAAGCAATCACAAAACCCTATAGCTAGAAGGCTTGACAGGGTGTTTGTCAATATTGAATGGTTAAATAGGCTCTCTAATAATGCAGTTGAGCTGCTCGACCCCTCTGTATCAGATCACTGTCCAATCTATTTGGACACTGATAGTTCCCTCAAATCTCTACCAAAACTTTTTCGATTTTTCAAGTTTTGGGTGGCTCATCCGTCTTTTTTAGATATTGTGGAAGAGGCATGGCATTCTGATGTCTCGGGATCTCCCATGTCTAGAGTTTGCAAAAAGTTGAGGATTCTGAAGAAACTTCTTAAAACTCTGAATAAGGAAGTATACTCAGATATTAGGGAGAGGGTGAAAATGAAGGAATCTGAATTGATGTATGCTCAGATGGAAGCCCTTTCCAACCCTTCCAGTGAGACTTTTGAGGCAGAACTGGTTAGGGGTAAAGAACTCAGGCAGTTACAGTTAGATGAAGAGTCTTTCTTGAGGCAGAAGTCAAGAGAGATCTGGGTTAAAGAGGGGGATTCTAATTCTCCTTTCTTTCATCGATCAGTCAAAGTAAGACAGCAAAGGAACACTATCAGATCATTGTTGAATGAGGAGGGTGAGAGGGTTAATGACACTGACTCAATGTGTAAGGTAGTAGTGGATTTTTATGAAAAACTCTTAGGGAGTAAAGATGAGTTAGTTCAAAGCAGACTAGTTGAATTCTTCAGACAGTTATTGAAGAGGAAACTTCAAAGCTCTCAAACATAGGAATTGTGTAAGCCTGTAACAACTGAGGAAGTTAGAAGTGTTATTTTTGGTTTCAAAGTAGAGAAAATCCCTGGACCTGATGGTTTCTCAGCCTGCTTCTTCCATGTGGCGTGGCACATTGTAGGAGATGAGGTAGTGAAGGCAATTCAATACTGTCTTGCTCATTCTTCTATCCCAAATGAGGTAAACTCTACTATATTAGCTCTCATTCCTAAGATCAAGAACTATGAGGAGATGAAGTACTTTAGGCCAATCTCTTGCTGCAATATTCTATACAAATGCATTGCAAAAATAATTGCAAATAGACTTAGTGAGTGTCTGCCCCATGTGATTAGTAATAACCAGACTGCTTTTGTTAAGGGTAGAGTCATTGGTGAAAACATTATGTTAGCTCATGAGTTGGTGCAGAAATATAATTGGAAGAATATATCACCTCGTTGCATTGTTAAAGTTGACTTGATGAAGGCCTTTTATTCAGTCGACTGACAATTCCTTTTGACTGTGTTAGAAGTTATGGGATTCCCTATTTTGTTCTTAAAATGGATCTCTATGTGTATTACTACCCCTAGGCTAAGTGTTGGGTTCAATGGTGGGATGGTAGGGTATTTTGCTGCTAAAAAAGGATTGCGCCAAGGGGATCCACTTTCCCCTTACTTGTTTGCAGTGGCAATGGAAGTATTTACTTGCCTAATGGAAGAAGTTGTTTCAGAAAACAGGCTCCCTTTTCACCCAATGTGTAAAAGGATTGGACTTGCTCACTTAATGTTTGCTGATGATCTTTTGTTGTTCTCTGATGGGTCAAATTTTGGCCTTCAGTGCATACAGAGAGTCTTATCTGACTTTAGACTACTATCAGGGCTTAAGTCTAATCCCTCTAAATGTGAGCTGTATTGTGGGGGGTTACCCCAGGAATGGAAGGAAAGTATGGCTGCTTATGCTGGGTACAAATTAGGGTTTCTCCCAGTCAGGTATTCGGGTGTTCCTTTGATTTCAAACAAACTCACTATCAAAACTTGTAAACCTTTGATTGATAAGTTACTAAGTAGAATCCAAAACTGGGGTCCAAGCTTCTGAGCTATGCTGGGAAACTTCAACTAGTAATGTCTGTTCTTTACAGTTTAGTCCAATTATGGATGGTTATATTTGTTCTTCCTAAAAGAGTGATTCGAGAAATTGAACAGCTTTGCAGTAACTTTCTGTGGGGTGTGGGTTCAGAAGGGAAGGTTAGAGCTAATGTGGAATGGGGTAAAATCTGCTTCCCTAGGAAGGAAAGTGGCCTGGGAATAAAGAATCTTGTACGTTGGAATCATGCTTTTGTGGTCAGACACATCTGGGATCTACTAATGCAGGGGGGGTCTCTTTGGGTTGCATGGGTGACAGAGTACAGATTGCATAACATTGATTTCTAGTCTGCTACTGGTAAATCTGGCTCCTAGATATGGTTGAGAATGCTGAAGTGAAGAGAGCAGGTTCAGGGTCATCTATCTGTTATCAATGGAGTTGGGTCTTGGGATGGGAAGGTGCAGAAGAAGTTCCCTTTAAAGCAAGTTTGGGATTTCTTTCGACCTAAGCTTCCTGTTGTGAGCTGGTATAAGCTTGTTTGGAGTCAGCCTGCAATGCCAAGAGACCAATTCCTCTGCTGGTTAATCATCAAAGGGTTTATTACTACAGGAGATAAGCTTTTGAGTTGGGGTTATCAGGGGGCCTTCAACTGTGCATTTTGTGTTGCTGCTGTTGAGTCCCTTAACCACTTATTTGCTGAATGCAGCAGGTACAAAGGCCTTTACTCCTGCTTGTTCTCAAAATTCACCAGCAGGGTCCCTTCAAACAGTTGGTAAGTTGAGTTAAATTGGGTTGTGACTGCATTTTCCGGTCCTAGTGCAACTTGCAGAGTTGGGAGAATTCTTTGGCAATCAATAATCAGTAGTATTTGGCGCGACAGGTGTAAAGCTAAGCATGGGAAGAAAATTTTGAGCTTGGAAAAGGTGCAGGAAAGGGTGAAATCAGATCTGGAAGTGTTGTGTGATGCTGAGGATGTGGGAAGGTTCTTGTGGTTGAGTTCTTGCTACTCTGCTAAATTTTCTTGGCTCTAGAAGTAGTAAAATAGTGTTGCTTGTATAAATGTCCTAGTGGCAAGGGTTGTTGCCATAACAGTACTGTTTTTGATGAAATATAACATACCATTCATAAAAAAATAGATAGTGGATTTCATGGATGTAGAGAGAATGTAAGTGATATGTAATGGAATGGAAAAAGCTGCTGAGGTGGCAGTAGGGGCCACATATGAAATAGAAATGGTGTTTCATGGATGTTGATGGTCTTAGACCGCTTCTTGTTCCCCTTTGTATGCAATCTTCCTCCTCACCACCAGAGACTACAATCCTTCGCCGTCCAACCCTTTTCGCTCTTTTTGTTTCTGTTGACCAAGAACAACCTTCCAATAAGAGGATCCCTTCCCGCACTCTGAGCACAACTTGGTCTTCGCCGCTGATGGGTTCGTCTTACCCCCACCACCTTGAACCCAACCCTACCCATGAACCGATCCCCCTCTTCCATTCTTCTCCGATGCTCTGCTCACAAGTCGTCACCGTCACCGTCGTGGCTGTCTCCGACCCCATCATCCTGCTCACCCTCCGCCTCCAGAAATTGCTCCTCTCTTTCCCTCTTCTCTTTCCCCGCAAACAAGGTGACGGTCGTCCACAGACTGTCGGGATTTCAAATCCAATGTTATTCGATTTAATCCAAATTCAACTTAGCTTCTTGGTCAGACGCTGCCGCCGCCTAGAACCAGACCCTTCCCTCCCCTCCGCCTCATGGCTATGTCCTCCGCTGCGTTCCTCCACCTCTCTGTCCCTCGTCGATTCGACTCCCCTGCTCCATTGATGATTTCAGGACATGTGATCCCCTCACAATCAACACCATCTCCAACTCCAACCCCATTTTGTCGTTGCTACATCGTCTACAACCTGATCTCGTCCTCTGCACCACCGTACTCTTCGCCCGCTCCGATGTTGTTTGTAGTTTTGGCCCTGCTGTTCACTGGCGGGATGAATCGAGAAAAGTGAAATGAAATTTTGGTGGAAGGAGTTGTGGCTGTTGGAATTAGAAAGGAGAATGAAAAGGGAGAAGTGTTTGGTGGCGGTGGTGGTGGTGGTGGTCTCTCTAGGAATTGGAATCACATGACATGAGAGAGGGTCAAGAGACTCAAGATGGGTCGAGTTAGGTTTGTATTGGGTTGGGTTAAGTATTGGTCTGATGTGGCGGGTTGGGTTTGGTGATGTGGTAGGTTAAAATTGGGTGAGTCAGCATTTCTGTTAGCCACGTCAGCAAATGACCGATGGTGTTAACGGAGTTGGATGGAGACTAACGGAGGGTGACCAAATGTGGATCGTTTTACTAATTCGAGTGACCAACATTGGAATTAAATATTTCTAGTGACTAAACATAACCCTTTTTAGTAAACACGGTGACCAAACTTGCAATTAACGCTGAAGAAAAATTTAGGAGAAGTGAAATTTGAGGGTAGTGAAATAATGAAGGAAAACTAGTGCTCGATTTTGAAGATGAAAGGTAAGGAAACACATACCAAATAAGAGAAATAGTTGTTTTCACCCCAAATTAGAGGCAACTAATACAATAAATTTTTCCCGCAAATAATCAATCTTCTATACTATAGCAAAACTTATGAACAATGAAAAAGTTGACATTCTCTCCAATTTCTCCTTCCAATTTCTCGAATGAAACTTGTGAATTATCATCCACACGGTTCGTGAGCCGCTGAAACCCCAGGGAAAATAGAACAAACGCTCGCCTTGCCTGACCAAATTAGTTAAAGTAATTTTTTAATAAGTAGACAATTACATATTTTTAATAAACATAGAACATCCATAAATTATTTGGGGCTTAATTGCAAGTTTGGTCACTCGAATTGCTATAAAATTTCACGTTTGCCACTCAAATTAATTTATTCCATTTATAGTCACTCGAATTAGTTGAACAGTTCAAGTTCGGTCACTCTCCGTTAACCTCCGTTAACTTTGACTGACGTGACGGTCAACTCTGACAGTTGACCGTTAAATGTGTGACGTGGCAAATAAAAAATAATTAAAAAATAAAAATTAAACTTTTAGAAATTACACATCATTATAAAAAAATTATAATTATAAAAAATGAAAAAAAAATTATCACAAAAACTTGAAATGCCGCTCCGACCACTCTGTTTCAGATCGGACTTCCAACGTCACCGAATTGGCCGGCGGCATTGGCATCTCGACGACAACCTTCTCCTTCCACTGAGGGTAGCTCCCGCTGTCGGAATCCGCCCTGGTCGACCCGGAATTGAAGAATGGGTCGGTTTTCACGACGGCGAACTCGTTCTTCTCGACGGGTCTCCCCTCGAGGCGGAATCCTCTGCTGAGAGGATCGTGAATTCGAGAGTCCGGGTTCCGGCGGCCGCCATTTTGATCGTCGGAATGTGTACGAGATACCATAAGGGCCCAATATCTCAATAACGAGCGCCTTCAGGGGAATGCTGATTGAACTGTGAAGGGAATTGCAACGAATTGGTATTGAATGATGGGATGATCAGGGTTTGGGATTGGTGTATTGTGTATTTATAAACAGAGTGTGGGTTGGGGTTGGACGGGGGAATCCGAAGGAGGGTCGGAAAGTCCGCGGTAGGTAAAGCGTGAGTTCATTGTATGGTTACAGTTAAGTAGCCGAAAAAATGTTGATGTGTTTTAACCGGCCAGTTCAGGCCAATGGTGATCTGCGTTGTACTTTTCTAAGAAAAAAGAAGAAGAGGGTAGGCTACTTCCAGGAACTCTAGCTTTTAGATGCACCTGTAAAAGAATTAAGGATTGGAATGATTTGTAAAGGAGGTGTTTCATACTAATGTATTAGTTATATCCATTGTTGTTAATTCCAGCCTGTGATATCCTTTGCATGAACAGAGCCGGGTTTACTGGCAGAGTGCTGGTGAATCCTTTGCATGAAACGACCAGGTTGCTGATGGGGCACGCACAGTTGTTGATCACTTCCACGTTCCATTGCAGCTCGCCTTCGCACGTATTATCGCTCCTCGTCGTCCCAAGCGTCACGCCGTTCAGATCGCCGTTGCCCAGCCCTGCAACGACAAACCAACATAACCCAATTTTCATGTGTGTGGTAAAGACTAAAGACTCTGTCTATGGAGGCGGGGCACGAATCTGGAAGGAACTTTGTGTTGTTTGTTTTTTGATAATTTCTTTGTGATAATGATGTGTAATTTCTTTTTGTGATAATTTCTTTTTTTTATTTCTTATAATTATAAATTTTTTTTTATAATGATGTGTAATTTCTAAAAATTTAATTTTTATTTTTTAATTATTTTTTATTTGCCACGTCACACATTTAACGGTCAACTGTCAGAGTTGACCGCCACGTCAGTCAAAGTTAACGGAGGTTAACGGAGAGTGACCGAACTTGAACTGTTCAACTAATTCGAGTGACTATAAATGGAATAAATTAATTTGAGTGGCAAACGTGAAATTTTATAGCAATTCGAGTGACCAAACTTGCAATTAAACCAATTATTTGGCTTGCGCGTCTTGTACGCTTTTTCAGCCCCTTAAACTCGTCAGTCGTCACGGCTGAAGAAGCACCCGAGCTTTCTCGACTCGGCAGCAGCCAAGCCCACACGGCTACGTCTTTGCCCACCCCGCAATTAATATAAATACCCAGATGCTCTCCATCCACAAGTCTCTGCCTGCGAAATCCTCAAACCAAGCAAGGAAAGAGCAGCAAACCCTTAATTACAGATTACACAGACTGCTCTGTTTCACTTCAAGAGACGAGACGATGGTGACAGTGATGAACAAGGCCCCGGCAGCTCTAGAGCTGGAGCGCGTCTTCCGCCATCTGGACGAGAACGGTGACGGCAGGATCTCCCCGTCGGAGCTGAACCAGCATCTGGGACTGGGATTGACCCGAGAGGAAGAGGAGCTGGTCTGGCTGAGGTCCGGCGAGGGGATGCTGCTCCAGCTGGAGGACCTGGTCGAGCTGGTGGAAGCAGGGGAAGAGGAAGAGAAGCTGCGGGACCTCAAGGAAGCCTTCCGCCTGTACGACGACGGGGAGAAACGCGGCTTCATCACCCCGCGGAGCCTCCGAGCGATGCTCATCAAGCTTGGCGAGCCCGCCAGGTCCATGGACGAGTGCGAGGCCATGATCGCTCGATTCGATTCGGATGGCGACGGCGTCCTTTGCTTCGACGAGTTCCGGGTCATGATGCTGCTCTGATCGGTTTCCATGATTGTGTGAAAATAGGGCAAATTCAAATTCAATTCAATTCAATTATTTCTTTACAATTGTTTATGTATAGATTGTTAGTGAGAAATTGCTATGACATGAATAGATCCATTGATTACTTCCTCTTTTTATGGTTCAATCGAACTCTTGCTAAATCATGATGAAGAGAAAAAGCATCGGGAGGCTGGCATTTGAAGGTTCTGGTCTGTGATGGCAAAACTTGTAGCAGGTTGGATAGGATGAGAGTAGAGATGGCAATTAGGATCCAAATTCATGAATCCAATTCAATCCATTCACCAAATTATTCATCTAATTCAATCTATTTAAATCCAATCTATTTAAATCCAATCCATTTGATCCAAATTCAATTGGATTGGTGGATTCATGGATCAATCCATGGATCCAAATGACAAATTACGATTTGGTACCTATATTTTTTATATTTTACATTTTGGTACCTAAAATTTATATTTTATACGAAAAATATCATTGGAAAATTACATTTTGGTGCCTAAGATTTTTCATTATGACATTTTAGTACCAAAACTTTTCAAATTTTACATTTTGGTCCAAGCCTTGGATGTCATTTGAATTTATGGATCAATCCACCAATTCATTTGATCCAATCCATGAAATCCACCAATCCATTGGATCCAATCCATTTGATCTATGGATCCACCAATCCAATCCACGAATCCAATCCAATTATCACCTCTAGGTGAGAGCATCAGATATATCTATTCTAGGCTTAGGAGAATTATGCAATAACTAGTCTGATGGGTTTCATCAATTCAAATCAATCCTTTACCATAATCCCTTAACCTTTAATTTTGCATCCCAACCTATAAACCTAAACCCTAACCCTAAATTCCTAAACCCTAAATCATTGAAATTAAACTAAATCTTGAATGATTTTAGTACAAATTCATGTATTTTCTTGTCCATCATATTCGTGACGATTACCATCATATTTACATCAATCGTTTGCTTAGAATAACGATTATGAGACGAGTGCATTCAGGGCACTCACATTTTTGGGTGCATTCAGTGCACTCGCTTCATAACCGTCATTTTAAACATGTGATTTATGTAAAAATGATGTCAATCATCACTTATGATGTGATGAACAATAACACACATAAATTTGCACAAAAGCCATTAAAGATTTACTTTAATTTGAAGGATTTAGAGTTTAGAGATTTAGGGTTAGGGTTAGGGTTAGGGTTGACAATTTGGGGTTTAGGGATAGCACTCAAAATTCGAGGTCTAGAGCTTAGGGTAATCCGCTAATTAGTTATTATCATATGTTATATCATCATACTAAACTAATTCTACAAATTAAAATTCAAAATCTGATACCTTAATACTAGTTTTTAGTTGGGTGCATTGAATGCACTCATTTTTGTGAGTGCACCGAAGTAGTCACCTATGGTGGCGTCTTAGGTGCACTCACATTTTTGGGTGCATACAGTGCACTCGCTTCATAACCGTCATTTTAAACATGCGATTAATGTCAAAATAAAGTCAATCATCACTTATGATGTGATGAACAATAGCGCACATGAATTTGCACAAAAACCATTAAAGATCTACTTTAATTTGAAAGATTTAGAGTTTAGAGATTTAGGGTTAGGGTTTACAATTTGGGGTTTAGGGATAGAACTCAAAATTGGAGGTCCAGGGCTTAGGACAATCCGTTAATTAATTGTTATCATATGTTAGGTGCATTGAAGGCACCGAAGTGATTACTGAGGCAAAAGTGGGTGCGCCGAATTCGCCACCATATATATATGGCTTCTATGGTGACTCACAAAAATGAGTGCATACTATGCACCCAACTCTAAAAGTAACTTTTAAGTCATTGAATTTTGAATTTTAATTTGTAGCATAAGTATAATATGATAATATAATATAGGGTTAACATCTTAGTTTGACCCGAAGTATAGACAAACTTTCTACTTTGGCCCGTGATATCGGAAATTGCTATTCTATCCTGAACTATGTAGTGTACTTCCTTATTTGACCCGGAAGTGAGTTTAACCGTCAAATTGGACTATCAACCGAGTTGATCGTTAGTCAAGGTACAACTCACTTGCCACTTCAGCTAGCGAGGAATAACCAAGTGCGACAACAAACTTCCTTTCTTCGTGCTTTCGTCCTACATCACTTCCTCCAATTCCGTACCCAAGTGTTGCATAAGACAGAACATACACTATATAGACATTAATCATTATTATTATTTGGCAGTGCCAACAAAATAATACAACACATTCACAGTACGACTAGAGGTTCTTGTTCTTCCCTTTCTTCCCCACAACTTTCGGCACATCCTCCCAGAACTCTAAACATGGTGGAGCCAGCTGGTGGATTGACGAGGAAGACCGGCTGGGTAGGAAAAAAAGAAAAGAGTACAAACTACAAACACCAGCTCTTTTACATCCCTTCACCTTTATCCTCGCAAAAAAACCCAGCCCTTTCTTTTCCCTCCACCTCGATCTCATACACAACAAAATACTCAACAATTTTAAGTTAAAAAGAATGACCACCGACGAGACCTATAGTTTGGTTATTAATGTTACAACAAAATGACACTGCTCTGAGAGCTGAAACAAAAATAAAGAAGGGAAACTTTTATAAGTTAAAAGATACAAAAGAGGGCAAAGGGCGAGGGGGCACAATTGTACAAAAGATGCAATTTACATGAAGTAGCTGAGGGCCTTCTTTCTCCGAGACCCACCTTCGCCATATAGTTCATTCCACTGCAGAAGCTCCGTCATGTTCACCGACTCGGAAGACACGCTTGCGCATACCCTTTCATGAGCATATTTGAAGTCCTCCATGTTCAGAGGGCGTATGTCTGAACTTCCACTTAATGCTGGTGGAGGTTTACCTTCTGCCTCAGCTGCCGCGTGTTCCTGTAGTTTATTCAAATGGAACTAACCATCAGACCAGAAAGAACCGAGACACAAAAAGCTTACGCCTAAGCAATCACTACAGGGAACTATAAGTACAAGACCAACAGAGCCTGATAGTGTTTTCAGTATGATAAACGTAATTCCAGATAATTTGAGCACTTCCTCGATCAAGTAGACATGAATGAAAGGTAATCTCAAGTAAACCTGTACCAAGGAATGTAGTTGAGCAAATGCAGAAACTGAGAACAATACCTTTTTCTCCTTCTCCAATATCTCTTTTATTGGGCGGTGAGCTGCAGTCACACACAAGTTCTACAAAAGAGAGAATAATAAAGACGAGAAGATAGTTAGTTATCATATGTTAGAACTCTTGGAAGGTCAAGAACAGCTAGAGAGGAAGAGGAGGTGATCCATGAACAATTATCCACAGAAATACTTTTAAAGCTAAAACACCTTGAGGTCACTTCCAGAATATCCATCAGTCATGCTTGCAACTGCATCAATATCAACAGTTGGAGACAAATCCTCTTTTGCCAATATGACTTTCATTATCTTGGCTCTATTTGGAGCATCGGGAAGATTTACCATCAATCTGGGAAAGCAGCAGATGTCACAGACAAAGAAGACTTTATTCAGAAACCTTGGCAACACTAGTGTTTGCGCCTCACTAGAATGTGCAATAATTTTTACCTTCGGGGAAGCCTTCTAATGACAGCTTCGTCAAGGTCAAATGGTCTATTTGTAGCTGCAAGTACCAAAACCCGCTCAGTGTCTTTTGTTCGCAAGCCATCCCAGTTCACCATGAATTCATTCTTCATCTTCCGCATAGCCTCGTGCTCTCCTGGATTTTCTCTCCTTCCCAACATGCTATCAACCTATATACGCAAAAGAAAAAGTTCAGAGTGGGCATCAAACTGGCTTAATATTCAACTAACAACCACACATGGCAAACTCAAAATTCCACTAGCGGAATTGTAAATGAAACTTGCCTCGTCCACAAAGACGACACTAGGAGCAATTTTGCTGGCCAGAGAAAAAACAGCTTTCACATATTTTTCACCCTCGCCAAACCACTGTAAACATAAATGAGGAAAATATGAATAATGAATGCATTTGGAAAAAATGAAAAAAAGAGAACCATAGTATCTAGTCCAGTCGTAGAGTTAACCTTAGAAGTGATGCTCGACATTGAAATATTGATGAAGTTTGCACCAGCTTCAGTTGCCACGGCCTTTGCAAGCATGGTCTTACCAGTTCCAGGAGGTCCAAACAGAAGTATTCCCTTGCAAGGCTACATATCAAAACAATCAGTAACAAAAAGAGATTGTTAACTTCCCTATTACAATTAGCAACCTAAGATTTTTCATAAGGAAAAAACACTCTTAAGCGAGGTTAGGAAGCTTGCTGGAGTATGAAAAAGAAAGGAACCTTAGTTAATTGCCCCTTGCAGAAAAGCTCAGGTCGTTGTAATGGAAGCATCACCAACTCTTTCAATGTATCCTTGACATTTTCAAGAGCTCCAATATCATCAAATGTAACCCCAATATCATTAGGTGGAATAACATCAGCCAGGAGCCTTTTCTCAAACTCATTTTCTGTCACGACATCCTGATTAAGGACCAAAAAATATGACTCAAGAAGCTTAACTTGAGAACTACCAAAACAGAACAAAATACATAGAACATGCAAGTTCATTTTTAAGATTGGCAAGCCAGGCAAAATCAATTTGACTAGAACTACTGTCAGTCACCTTGAGAGACTTCTTTGAGCTTTTAGATTCATTCTGCAATGCATACAAGATTTCCATGCCATAGTGGATGCTGCCACAAACAAAACATTGCATTTACATCGTTAAATAATTCAATAACTAAAGCTCCATGAGAGACAATTCAGAGATGTTAATCAACCAAATTACCTTTCGGTAGACAGAACGAGCCTAGTATCAGATTCAGCTTCAGGATTATGCATAAGGTGATGACTTATAGCCCAACCAATCACCTTCTCGGCACCTGCAATACACGATAAGGCCAGGGACTTTAGGAAAGTTCATCACAAAACTCTACCTGACAGAACAAAATACATACTTTCATTTGTAAGTGTTTGATCCTTGATGCTTAGTGTCTCCAAGCCATCGCATTCGACTCCACAACGACCCAAAACCTACATATAGCTTTTAATCAGACCATAATCCTACTACGTAGAACCTCACAAACAATGTCTGGAAATAAAGACAGGATAAATAAGAGAAACTGCCCTTGCCAATACTGGACAGAGATGATGTCACTCATATTACTTTATTGACGACCTTGCAGCATTTTACAGGACAGAAATAGACATGCCAGCAAATTTGAAGAGTCATCAACAAAGAGACAGACTTCAGTATTGACAAACACATGAGCTTTCATCAACCAACTTTCCGAAAACTAAGCAAGAGAACTACAACATTTTGCAACACCCTGAGAAGGGAAAAAAGGACAAATGAAGAACCACCAAGATTGCAGCAGAGCGCTTTAATTGCCTTTGTTTACAAAGGAGGTATGCACATGACAACTAAAAATGGAGAGAGAATGTGATTTTCATTGTGAAGATATTTAATCAACTCTTCCCAAGGGTAACAGTGAGGGGCTACAAATGCCATGCCCAAGATAAATAAGGTGTGACGTACAGAATTGCATATTTTCATTCACTGTTAATTAGTGCCAGTAATGGTACAATATCTTGAGTAGAAGGACAAAGAAAAGGGTGTTGATGAAGAAGAAGAAGAAGAAGAAGAGGGGAGCACAAACAGCAATTTGTGATTAGAACAAGAAATTAACCCGATTAATTGGGATAATAGCATCGAGCCAAAAAGACCCAACAGCATTTGAGAGAAATTTAACTTTTACAATAGCAACCAGCAAGAGAACTTACAGTGCGGAGATGATTGAGATTTCCCTTCATTTTAAGAGTTTCGGCATCTCGTTCTAAATCTTGCTTCCAAGAAGCTAGAAGACCCTCCTCCTGCAATGTGTAGTAAGTCTCTATCAGATTGTCATATTGTAATTCTTACAACTAAAATAGTACTATATCACAGACCTGTGGCATGTGAATTGCAACTTTATTCGGGAAAAGCTTGGTCAGAAGTTTTGTTGCCTTTGGTACTTCTTTACCTCTATCATGAAGTCTGCCAAAACTATCCTGAGGAATTGACATGCAGGATGATCAGACACCTACATCACTAACATCTAAATGTTCAATTAACAACCTTGATAATGGATAAATCGAATAATTTTCAAACGCCCAGCAGAATAAGTCTACATAGACATACATAAGGAAAAGGGAAGCAGAAAGAATAGTTACAGGAAATGCCAGGTCAAGAAGAGCAGTCTGGTTGCTGCCAAATTTAGTGAAAAGGAGTCCACCTGGATGTGACTGCAAACAAATGCCAGAAGGTGAATACCACTTCTAAAACCAAACTAAAAATCTGCCTGGCAACTACGGAACTACCCAAGCAGAAATTACACAATCAAGAGAAAGTTCCTTTCCTCCAGGGCTAGGAAATGCACATGCAAGGTCATGGTCATAATCGGATACTTATCCTTTCTATTTCAATAAATTTACAAACAAAAGAACCCATTAACGACACCATAGAAACTATGCATGCTAAGCAATGTCAGGAAAAAAATTGATAGGACTGACAATAGGAAGGTTTCAGAACGGCACATTTGCTGAAAATGAATACAACAATCATGAAGTTGCTTTCAATCTTGCTGCTGATTAAAATGGTTGAACCCTTTTTTAAGCCTCCTTGGACAATATACATGAACAACATCGAAACACTCATCTTAGGAAACCAAAAAACTGGCACCTTTTCCTTTCTATTGTCTGTCTGTGTATGAGAGCCAATAACAATCACATTGTCAGGAAGCTTTTCAAGCCTGCTTTTAAATGTGGTGTATGAGTCGGAGTTTGCAGCAATGGACTTCTCAGAATCTTTCACAAACAGAATGAATGGGGAAGTTCTGCTCTCACTGTAAACAGCCTGGAAAAGAGACATGCAAATGGTAAAGGAAGCGAAAGGCAGAATAGTTACTGATAATACAAGACTACAGCATCCATACCTCAAATAAGATGTTAATAAGTAATCTGTCCAAATCATCACTGTTCTCCAGACGCAGATCAGTAACTGAAAAAGTGAGAAACATTTTAGTAGATTGGACAATAGAAAAGGCATTACAACATGAAAATATTAAAGTTCACATCGATAATCACCGTTGCAGAAGTATCCATGACCTAGCTCGCATAAACCTCCAAGATCAACCCCATCAGGTACGGGTTTATCAAATTTCACACCAACTTTTGCTATAGGATTGTCTTCAAATAGTAAAATGACCTTTCCCCGAATCCCAGAGAGTGGACCCCTACAGATCATGTTCACAAAAAGTAAATGATGGTTGCAAAACACTGAAACAGGCTTGCAAAAATTTCAGGACCAATCTGATGGTACCTTCTGTCCATTATAAAAATCTTGCTAGAACTTACCTAGATGAAGATGCTGTTGGATACAAACAAGAAGCAGATGTCGAGAATTTTACTCTGTCACCTACGATTTCCATGATCATAGTTTAATGCATCTTCAGTAACAAGTAGAGGCACATGCACAAAATCTGAAAATCCATTTGCATAGAAACAAAGATGCCTGCCTACAGAAACTTAATACCTAATTTAAACTTTGTAGTTTTAGATGCCCCAGAAGAGGAGGGTACACTATCAAAATCAGTCTTTGCTTGAGATTCTCGCCCTGAAGGGGCAGTAGAGGAGCTTGGTGTTTCTGCTTCACCAGCTGACTGAATGTTCTTTAGCACATCAGTGGTTAGAGGACTTTGTTTAGCAAAAGTGCAGGACTTTTCTGCATTCATTCCATCCTTAAAAAGCTCCAATTTCTTTGAAGATAAGCCCTGAATTTCCAGTACAGGATTTCGATGATAAATTAATGAATGACCAGCATAAAGTGTTCAGCAAGGACAGGCAAGACTGCATTAAACCTACCCCAACAAATGAATGGCTATCGAATATGAGCAATTTAGACCCAAAGTAATTAGCAAGTGCCTTTGCTAACATCTCCTGATATATCTCCGAACCTTAAACATAAGATGACAATGAAAGTTATTAGTTAAACTGTAAATTCAAGGGTAGATTTAAGTGGGAGACGATGGAACAGAATGGTGACATACCAGCTGGACCAGATAGCAAAATTCGTGGATTAACAGTAGAGAGTTCTGAAGTATATTTTGCATGTTCTTTGTGCTTCAGGTGTATAAATGAAGCTGCTATAAGCACGTTTTTTGTATTTTCACTGCACAAAAAAAAAAGGCCCACCAATCATTTGTCAATGAACAAAGTACAAAAACATGCCATGAATTTCCCAGAGGATAAAGATCATTGTCTAGAACTATACTAAAAACAAAAACTGGTACATGAGAAATCCTACCTCAGGAAATATGGGAAGTTGTCAAATGAAACGTCTATGTTTTTGCCATCTAGAATTCCAGCATGAATGTCTTCTTTGATGACTGCAGCCCTAAGTGAAATCCCCGAGGTCGATGGCTGCTGAAAGTCCCTCGCCCACTCGTTCTTTTCCTCTAAAACCTGTTCACAGAAACTCACGCTCAAATTGTGTTTACAGCTAGATGATAGAGCTAACAACCTGAACCTTATCAAACCATTCACCTCGGATAATTTGCCATTGCATTTCTCTATGCCAGAGTCTTGGCTGCAATCATGGGGAACGTTCTTGGGTACTTCTACAACGTCTGCAGCTTTATCAGTCCCCTGGTTAGGAATTGAAATTTCTTCCAAAGCATCAACATCAACCTCTGGGCTATTCTGAACAGAAGGACCAGCAACTTCATCTCCTTGGTGAAATCTGCTAGAAGTCTGACCTGTAGACTTCCAACGAGACAAATCTTGCCTAAGGCTTGAAAGAGAAGCTAATATGGATGCCCCTGCAACAGCTGAAGGGTCGCCTGACCTCCTCTCAAGTTGCAAGAATTTCCCCAAACTATTGTGAACCTCCATGCCCTTCAGGGCAACCTCAGTTAGGAGTTGCTGAAAAATCTTCATTGGCACTCATTAAGGAGATCAATAAAGTTGTTTACAACAACACAATACAAGCAAATGATTCATTAGGAAGGATAATCAAATTGAGCCTGACAGCATCCAAAGCCTTTAAGTAAGAGTCCATCAAACTTCAGAAAAGGATACATATGCATGGTTACCCAATAGACCAAAAACCACCTCATCTCCTGAGCTAAGAACACGGCTAGAATTCTTCTTGACAATAGACCCATTTACTTGAACAGATCCTTTGCTCCCCGTGCTTTCCAGGACAGCAACAGTACTCCCTTCGCGCTGATCATGTCCACAAACAATGAGTTCTCAAACTGCATATACATTTTAAGGAGTTCACCTCCAGAAGAACAAATATGACACTATACAGCTCCATAATTCCACTGAAACGTGATTTCAACACTCCATAGGACCAATCATCTTTTACCTATCCTCACTCTCTTTTCTTTGAGAATATAAATCATCTTAGGTTAAATAACTCCATGGCTACATAAATACCTGTGTCTGCTTTATTTTACATAAAACTTGACTAATTGGCTGATCCTTCAGCACAAAACTGCAATGCCTGCTTGAGCCAATAGTGAAGCTTGCTGGGCATATGATTATGTTTGGATTCTGCAGCAAGAGAGAGGGCCAAATCATTTCAAATTCTAGAGAGAAGCCGAGCTTAACAAAATCAGAATGGAGTAGATTTTAAAAAAGCTCGTCAATGAGTACATAAACTCCCGCAGATTACAAGTCAACTTGAATCAACAGACTAGAAATTATCCAAATTTCACCAATAAAAAAGCTCAACTAACCTGTGCAGACTGTGACAGAAGCTTACACCATGGAGTTAACGTCTCGAAATTTGGGTTCTGCTTCTGACATATCCAAGATGAGAAAGAACTCCTCGGTTTATCCAGTGCAATCGGCGTGGAACCTACCAGGCCAAGTAAAAACCGATCACAACAACAAAATTCAACCCATCCCCCAATCAGGGGGCAAAGCAACACGGTCATCTGTAGTAGTAAAAGAAGAAGAAATGGCCCACAAGTTCAAAAGCACCTACCGTCGGCGATCGGCGGCACCACCGCCACCGCAGGTCCTGCTTCGCCTTTACCAGGACTCACATCCTCACCGACACCACCTCCCGCAACCGCACCATCGGCGGTCCCACATTCCGCGGGATCTGGCGCCAGTGGCGGGCACAATTCCTTGGAAGCTTCCGCTGCCGGCATCGGTTTTTCCGATGCTGTACCATTATCGCTCTGCCACCGTAACAAAAGAAAACGAACAGGTCACCAACTCGGATGAAAAAACGGCCGCCGCCGGGACCGCGCTAAAGCGAAAAGAAAGCAATTGGAAGCCATCCGTCTGCGTTAGAACACGCACGCATACCTTTTGACGCTTCGGCGAAGGAGGCTTATCTTCGGAGGAGGAGGATGATTTACGGGTGCTATGGTTGTTGTTGTTGTTACCAGAGAGAGATCCACTTCTTCTGGTCGAGACCATGACTCTCTGGTTTTCGCTCCGTTTCGCTTCTCCCTTTACTTTCTTTTATTTTCTTTTATTTTCTTTTACCCTTTGGGTTGGTTTGGGTTGTTTGCGCTCGCTCTCTTGTCTCTCTTCTAGTCTTCTTTCCCACAGCACTGGACCGGAGCAAGAGTGAGAGAGAAAGAGAGGCAGCCAGAGATATTTAATTGATGGGTTTTTTTGGGCTCAAATACTCGTCCTTATATGGAACAGTACTTGTGTTCCGGATTTGGCTGCTTGGTTAATTAGCATTTTAACTAAACATTTTTATTTGATAATAAATTTTATACTGCAATTTATTTTATTTCTAAAGATTTGAATATGACATACCAAACACAAGATTTCATTTGATAATAAATTTTACACGGTAATTCATTTTACAATGAAATGAATTCTCGATTCATTTGATACCAAACGATCTGTTAGACAAACAGATCTAGAATGGAAGCGGACCCTCGGGTCCAAGCGAGTACCTATATATGTCATGCCTATAGGGTGGGTAATATCCGCGACAAAACAGTTCAAACAGGTTGGGTATTATAAATCATATCAAAAATTTCTCGCTAGATCAAACTCTCTTTCGCATCCTTGTACATGAATAATTTCAAACAATCAATTACAGTAAAACCTCTATAAATTAATATAGTCAGGAGCTTAAAAATTATTATTTTATAGTAGTTATTAACATAAACGACTTTATAACCTTAAAATTATATCCATATGTGGTGTATTAATTTTATTTTAGTACAAATATAAATTTTTATATTTTGATAAACTTAACTTTTAAGGTTCATTGTATTATCTTAATCGTCCAAATTCATACACAATTACTTTGAGTATAAATATTCATCGTATCTACTATATATTTCAATAGACTAGACCTTCAAGAAGAAACAAACAACTATAGATTCATATTTTTCTAGATTATCCTAGATATATTGTACATTTTTATAAATTATATTTTTATAATTATTAATTTATAGAAATGAAAATACATGTACTTATGTAGGTTGGTTCTCAAAAATTATTATCTTATTATTTTATTTTATTTGCTCATTTTTTACACTGTCCCAAGTCGGGACCGGAGAAATTATTAATTTATACTATATTATTAATGTATTAAGTATTATTTGTAAAGGTTTTACTTTATTTTACTTTTTCATCCAAAATCTTCTTTGGGAAACTCACATTTTGTTTTGATCTCCAAAACCCTTCTCTCTCTAACCTCTCTCTACTCTCGTCTCTCGCGATTGCGATGACAGCCTCGTCGTCGGAAACTGCTCCGACGACGGGAAAGGTTTCGGGGGGAGGTTCCTGGGCGCAATTATTCGATATCGCTCCTGAGAATCAGATGAAATACTGTCCGCCAGAGCGTGTTCATGATGGGTTCCTCATCCCTCAGGAGGTCAAGCAAAAGGGGGAAGAGCGATGGCGGGATTGCTTGATCGGGCAGTTCGTCGGAGCTCAACCTAAGGTGGCGCAGTTGCAGACCTAGGCTACCTCAATTTGGGGGCGAGATGGGACTGTTCGGGTATCTAGATTTGGGCATCGATTGTTTGTTTTCCAGTTTCCTTCTGCTTCTACAAGCAAGTGGGTTTTCAAGTCAGGACCATGGCACTATCAAGGGAATCAACTCTATCCAGGAAGTGGACGCCGGGGATACAGCCAGTTGCTCCTCAGGTAGAATCTCTTCCTATATGGGTTAACATTTGGGGTATTCCTTTGGAGTATCACTCGGTGGATGGGTTGGAATGGGTTGCTAGCACGGTTGGTCCTCCTCTTTGGATGGATAAAACCACAAGGGTGGGAGGGCAGCTGGGCTATGCCAAAGTGTGTGTTGACCTGGCTGCGGATTGTGGATTCCCCTCCAAGATCCATCTCTATCCCGATGATGATCCGGGTTTTGATGTGGAAGTAGAATATCTGAATTTACCTAGGGTTTTCCCTGTCTGTGCTGTTTATGGTCATGATTGCAATTCCCTGGCTCGAAGCAATAAGAAGTGGGTAGTCAAGCAGAAAATTCAGACTGAGGTTGTGGCAGGATCAGGGGAAGTGATTGTTGATTCTGGGGCGGCTCCTGTGGTTGGTTCTGTGCAGCAAACTGAAGCAGAAACTGAAGCGAGTAATACTATAGTCCACTCTGTGGTTAGTGCAGTACTGAATGATAAAACACAGCTGGTAGAACCTGTAGTTGCAGGTGTAGGTGTTCAGGATGTCTCAACTATTCCTCCTTCAAATGGGAATGCAAATGCTAGGTTTGTGGATGTGGTCCTGGGATCATCAGTTGATACTGGGAGTCTTAGTTCCCTACTGCAATAGCCTGTTGAAACTAGTTCACCTGTTTCAGGGAAGCTAGTTTCTCAGACTCCGGTAATTGCTAAAGAGATAAATCCTTGGATAACTGTTGGCTCCAAGAAAAAGCCTACTACACCTAGAGTGGTTGAGCCTGTTCTTCCTCGCAAAGGGGGGAGAGCTGGAAAGAAAAAATGAAGATACTCACATGGAATATCCGGGGTTTTAATAACCCGGATAAGAATAAAGTTGTCCAACAGCTGGTAAATAGACATAGTATAGATATTATAGTCATACTAGAGCCTAGAGTTAAAAGTAATAAAGCTGATGAGTTGATAAACAGAAGATTTTCTGGTTGGAAGTCTAAAGTCTCAAATAACACTACTGGCTTGGGAAAGTTGTGGCTTCTGTGGAAGGCTGACATTAAACTTCAGGTTTTACATATAACAGATCAACTTATCCATGTTTTGGTTGGGTCAGGGGTTCCATTCTTTTTGTCTGCCATCTATGCATCAAATGAAGAGGCTGACAGAAGAACTCTCTATTCTGAGTTGGTTAAGTATCAAGTGGATTCACTCCCATGGGCTGTGGTAGGTGACTTCAATGCTATTGGGGATTCAAGTGAAGCATCAAATAACCCTCAACTATCTAGTAGTATGACTGACTTCAGGAAGTGGCAGTTTGATTGTGAGGTGGAAGAGCACAAGGCTTCAGGGCCATGATTTACATGGATCAATAAGCAGCAGGGTAATCCAATAGCTAGGAGACTTGATCGAGTTTTTATCAATGCAAAGTGTTTGGCTGATCTGCCTTTGAGTACAGTGGATCTTCTTGATCCCTCGGTTTCAGATCATTGTCCTATTCTGTTAGATTCTGACTGTTCATTGAAATCATTGCCAAAAATGTTTAAGTTTTTTAAGTTCTGGATTCAGCACCCTCAGTTCATGGATTTGGTTAAGCAGGCTTGGAGCTCACAAGTTGAAGGTTCTCCTTTGATTCGAGTATGTCAGAAACTGAATATTCTGAAGGGTTTATTAAAGAAACTTAATAAAGAGGTGTATTCTGACTTATCTGAAAGAGTGAAGCTGAAAGCTGCTGAGTTGCTTCTTGCTCAGGCTGATGCACTTAGTAATCCGTCTCCTCTTACCTTTGAAGCTGGGAATAGAATATCTAAGGAGGCTAAAGAGTTGAGGGAGGCTGAGGAGTCATTCTTCAGACAAAAATCTAGAGAGGTTTGGTTGAAGGAGGGAGATTCAAATACTCCTTATTTTCACAGATCAGTCAAAACCAGACAGATGAGAAATATGATTAGATCTCTTATTGATGAGTCTGGTCACAGGGTAACTGACTTGGATGGTATGACGAAGATTGCAGAGGAATTCTATAAAAAAACTATTGGGTGAGGAGGATAAAGAGGTGGTTTCACCTGAGGTGGATCAGATTAGAGGGTTACTGATGAAGAAGCTACTTCTTGCCCAAGGGGATGATCTATGTAAGCCAGTTACTGCAGAGGAAATTAGAGCCACAATGTTTGCCTTTAATGGGGAAAAGGCCCCTAGCCCTGATGGCTATCCAGCTTGCTTCTTCCAGGCAGCTTGGAGTATTGTGGGAGTTGAGGTAACAAGTGCTATCTTATATTGCTTTCAAGTGTCTAAAATTCCAGTTAGTGTTAACTCCACACTCTTAGCCCTTATACCTAAAATCCAAAGCCCTGAAGAAATGAAATTTTTTAGGCCAATTGCTTGCTGCAACATACTCTATAAGTGCATAGCTAAGATACTTGCAACTAGATTAAGTACTGTTATGCCATGTGTTATCAGTGAATCCCAAACTGCCTTTGTTAAGGGTCGAATCATTGGGGAAAACATTTTGCTTGCCCATGAACTAGTTCAGAAATATGGTAGAAAAAACATCTCCCCCAGATCCCTAGTTAAAGTTGACCTAATGAAAGCCTTTGATTCTGTGGATTGGGCTTTTCTGTTTAAGTGCTTGAAGCTATGGGATTCCCTGACAAATTCCTTGTTTGGTTGAGAATGTGTCACTACACCAAAGTTCAGTATTGGTTTTAATGGTGGATCAGTGGGGTTTTTCCCAGCAAAGAAAGGATTGAGGCAGGGGATCCCCTTTCCCCCTACCTCTTTGTTGTGGCCATGGAGATGTTCTCTTGCCTGATGCATAAGGCTGTTATTCAGAATGTCATGCCCTTTCACCCTATGCGTAAAAGACTGAAGCTTACCCACCTAATGTTTACTGATGATCTCTTATTGTTTTCTGATGGCTCAAATTTTGGAATTCAGTGTATCCAAAAGGTACCGATGAATTTAGATATATGTCTGGGTTAAAATCAAACCCTTCCAAGTGTGAACTTTACTTTGGAGGCATTAATGACCAATGGCAGGAGCTGATGTCTCAGTTTTCAGGTTATAAATTGGGGTCACTTCCAGTTTGTTATCTTGGTCTCCCTTTACTCTCTCGTAAGCTTACCATTAAAGCATGTAAGCCTCTTATAGACAAAGTTATAAGCAGAATCAATAGTTGGAAGTCAAAATCTCTCTCTTATGTTGGCGAACTTCAATTAGTGATCTCTGTGCTGTATAGTCTTTCCCACTTTTGGATGTCAATCTTCATTTTGCCTAAGGCTATCATTAGAGCTATAGAGAAAATGTGCAGTGACTTTGGGGGGTAGGTGAGGGTGCCAGGAAGAAAGCAGTGGTTGCTTGGTCTCGAATTACTTATCCCAAAAATGAAGGGGGGCTTGGACTTAAAGATATGTTCACATGGAACCTTGCTTGTATTGTTAGGCACATCTGGGCTGTTTTGCTTAGACAAGGGTCCTTATGGGTTGCTTGGCTTTGGGAATTTTGTATTAAAGGGGACAACTTTTGGACTCTAACCTCCAAAGCAGGGTCTTGGTTATGGCAGAAAATCTTGAAAATCAGAGATAAACTCAGAGGGTGGATCTCTGTTGCAGCTGATGGTGTCTATTGGAAGGGTGTACTTATGGAAAAATTCTGCATAAGGAAGATATGGGAGGAGCTTCGTCCTAAAAAGGGGGCTGTCACTTGGAAGAAGTTGGTTTGGAAAGGACCTAGCATTCCAAAAACCAGTTCCTGGTTTGGCTAGTCATCACTGATTGTATCACAACTGGAGAGAAGGTTCAGGGGTGGGTGGCTCTGGTGAATATGGCTGTGTTTTCTGCCCATGTAGCCTGGAAACGAGATCTCATCTCTTTGCTGAGTGTTCTGTGTTTAAACAATTGTTTGCAGCTCTGTTTGTTAAATTTGCAGATCGAGTACCTGGGAATCTTTGGGATGTTGAGCTTCAGTGGGCTATAACTGCTTTCAAAGGTTCCACTGTCTTAGCACAAACTGGAAGGCTGATATGGCATGCTTTAATTGCGTCAATCTGGAGGGAAAGATGTTTGATTAAGTTTGCAGGGAAGAAGGCTGATTTCCATGCTTTGGTTCGGCGGGTACAAGGAGATATTAGAGTGGTTGTAGAACCTGGAGTTGTATGTTTGTTCTTTTGAATTTTTCAGGTGAGCTGATTTAGTGATTTGCTATAGGTTTTTGAGATTTCAGGGGCCTGTTGCTCCCTTTGCTCAGCTGGCAGAGCTGTTGCCAGCATAGTATTTGGTTCTTTTGATGAAATGAAACTCCAACCGATTCATAAAAAAACTCACATTTTTGAAATATTTAATTACCCTTATTTCATTATTGGGAAAATATTGCATAAGAACATCCAAAGTCTTGTCACCATGCTTGTGTCAAGCAAGATCTTTAGTATCGTCTAGGTATCAATGGGTTCGAAGTAATGAAGGGGTCAAGTTGAAGAGAAATCTGAAAAGAGGATGGAAGGGATGATTTGAGGAAGAAGGATCCCTGATTCGGAACTTGCAAAATAGCACATAAATGGGCATTGGAAAATGAGTTTTTCATCCATTGATAAGTTAGTGGAAGAAATTATAAATAAAATAGTGAGATGTTTATAGAGAGAATATCTGTTAACTAATCTAAGGGTAGATGGCTTGGTATTTATATAAAATGACAAGCACAAGAATTCTAGTGATTGTGGTTTTGGGCAGATCAAAGTGAAACTAGCCTAATCATGTTTTCTTTGGGATTTCCCTTCACAATCCTGACAAACTGAAGAAATAATTTTTCTACAAGATGAACACAAATAGGGTGAGGTATGCGACTCCTTTGTCTACTAGGTGATTCTTGTTATTGGTGGAAGCCGTGTGCCTCGAATCAAGGAATGGAGGTGTGTTCCTCATTCGGTTTAATCCCGGTGTGATGAATATTGTTAGAGGTTGAAGGAAACTGTGACGAAATTATTGTCACTAAAAAATTCATCACTAAAGATTGCTGCAGCCTTCAAGTTGAGACACTTGGCCATTTGGTCATTTGGTCGGCCCGGTTGGGCGGTGGGTCCTGTAATAATTAGATTGTTTGGGTGATAACTCCTTCGTTTGACCTCTGAATTGATCGTTGTTTGCGCCCATTCGTCTATCTTTTCGTCCTCTACAACTTCAGATCATCATTCGTCAATTTAGAGTGTGTTTAGACATAATTTGGGTCATTTTTCTTCATTTTCATAGTAATTACCTACAACGCTAAAAATACATAACCAAACATAACATAAAAAAATAGAGGAAAACATATTAATAACAAGCATAAACTAGATGAAAATGTGGGTATAAAATGTATGAATTTCATATTATCATACACTATGCACCCTATCGCACTCGTTCAAAGACCCATAGTGAAGGATTGAAGATTTTCTATTCAACCTAGGAAGATATTCTATTTCCTAGGTCGAAAGCTCAATCGACGTGTAGTGGGATCAAGACATGCAATTCATCATAAACATCCATCAAATAGATAACCGGAGTAGTCAATCATAGGATTTGCCACATATATAAACAATCAAACCGAATTCTAGAACTAGGGTTCATCAACGTAAGTGAAGTTTTAATTCGTAGAGAAGAGAGGAGAGAGAATACAATAAGCTTCAAGATCTTCAATATTCATGTTCTGAGAATGATCTTCAAGCTCCAATGTCGTTGGATACCTCCAAAATGGCTCTAAGAACCCTCATAGGTCACTCCCTCTCTTTCTCTCTCTAGAATCGCTCATTGGGTATTTTTGGGTGAAATCCCCAACTCCCCTAGCTCAAAATCGGCTAATGTCAATTCATACCCATAGTAGTGCATGTTTCATGCCCTATGTGTTATTTTCATGCCCCTGGGGCGTGAAGTATAACCTCGCAAGATGCATTAGCCCTGCTAGAAATTTGCTTAGTTTATGGTTTGGGGTGATTTTCAAGACCTCAGGCAGTGAACATTTGCTCTGACTCGCGAACCTTGCAAATACTCTAGTTTTTGGCTCGTTTTAACCCTTGAATGGCACGGAACTCGTTCCTAACCTTCCCTCGCGTACTAAGACCTGAAATGTGACAAAAGAGGCACAACCTAGCATAAAATGGAACGAGGAACAATGATTACCAAATCCAACAATCAAGATATGAAGATTGAAAGGTAAAACATGTAAAATTAGCCTTGAATTAAACTCCCCCGCACTTAATTATTTGCTTGTCCCCAAGCAAACCTACTCAAATCGGCACAACTTGTTGAATCCTCACAATAGTAAGCATTATACATCGTAGGTAGCAAAACAACCAAGACTTCAATGTCACTTAGAGACATGAAATTTCAACTCTACCTTAATGTGAAACACAAACCAAAGTTGGGACCTTGTTCACTAGTGAAACCAAGACATACAAGATGTGTACAAAGGGACTCTACAAAATAGGTTGAAAACGATGGATTCGATGAAAGTGCTCCTACTTTAGAAGAGGACTCCAATTTTTGAACCTCAACTATCTCCTCTCCTGCATATCTCATGAGGAGGAGAGGTGTTTGGGGATGGAAGGTAGAAAATGATGATGGATAGACGCTAGAAAACTATCCAATCCCCAAACACATCCTCAAATGGCACTTTGGCCCAAAAGAAAAAAACTCTTTGACGGTTTAACTTAAACACTATGATCGGTTGCCTCTCATGTGAAAACCACATTTTTTCCCCTTTAAAATGGATCACCTTTTTGCAAAGTTTTTTCCGAGTCTAAAATTGAGAGAGAGTTCAACACATAGTCTTGATACCACTAGATAACAATATCAATGAACCAATCAAAGAGGAAGTAGAGGTAACAATTCTCATGGACCGACAACCTTCAAAACTTTACACTAACCTGCCTAGAATGCATACCATCACAACATCCAATCAATTCAAAGCACAATGAGTAGGTATATGCACAGGACAAGGTGTTTGAAATCCTCAAACTTTTCTAATTTACACTTGCACATATAGTCTAGGTTCCATCACACACACAATATAGGCAAACAATTATTCAGTCATCCACAAGTGCTTAAAACCCTCACAATTTTGGAATTTGGGAATTCATCTAAGCTCCAAGCATTCGTAAGATAGCCAAATCATTCATTTGCCCCATTCATTCACACACTCACACATCATGGAACACCCCACACACACACACACACACACTTAAGCATGACATTGTCCTCAATGGAGGAAAGATAAAGAGGGCAGAATGAAGTTACCGAGTTAAGTGTGAAGGATGATGGACGCGACCGGAAGACAGGTGAGACTCGGTCGGCCAGTCAACAAACAAACACCATAGGTTCACAAAGGTTGAGTTATTGAAGGGAAACGAAATGCAAACAGAAAGGTTGGGTTGCCTCCCAACAAGCGCTTCTTTCACGTAATGGGCATGATGGTTGTGCTCAAGTTTCTCTCCGGCTCAAAACCTCCTTGAAGTTGAGGTTCTCATCAGTGATGTGGAGTTGCAAGTCATGAGCATTTGATGTGGTAAGTGATGGTGATGGCTCATGTACTTGGTGAGAGTCGAGGCTCCACCCACGAGACCTCTTATTCTTTCTTCTCTTTTCCCCATACTATATTTGGCATCATGGATTGACCACTATCGTATCCATCAAGAGAGAGAAATGATGGTTTGGCATTAGCTTGACAAAGAGCCACAAACGGGTCCTTCTCGAGAAGCACATCAAGGTCTGGTGGAAAGCTTTGGTAACACTTGTAACTTTTAGAACTTCATCCACCCCGACCTCGTCCATTGATCGGACACCACTTGTATTCTCAAACTCCCTTCCTTCTTCCCAAATTTTTTCCTCCCCTTGGGAACAATCAATGTCTTCCTCTTCTTCAATGCTCGCTTCCTCCTCAAACCCTTATATCACCTTCCATCCTTTTATTCAAACACAAATTGGAGGCAAGACGCCATGCAAGGTCGTTGAAAGGGTCATCTTGCTCCTCTGCCCTCATAACTTGGTCTTCAAATTTGGTATTGGGATGGGGAAGGGTGTGAAATTCGTCAATGAGACACTTTTGGTCATACTCACTTCAGGAGCTCTCAAGGATGAGATCGTCTTACTCAATATGGTGTTCAATCCCCTCTTCAATGTCCTCCTTTTCAAATGCTAAGAGACGAAGACGTGCACAAGATTGCCCAATGTAGCTTCAAATAGGGAGGAGGGAGGGGTTGGTAATCCATGTTGGAGCATGTTCTTTCAAAGTTCTCCATGGAAAGCTCCAATGAGTTACTTACCATGAAGGTCTCCATTGTTAACTCCAATTCGGACTTCACTTTAGCCACTTTAGGTTGTGAGAGGAAGTCTTCTTTGTATGGGGGAACTTCTTGATACCCCCATGAGTATGGTTTTTCTTCTTAGAAGGGAGGTTGGTCATAGAACCCGAATCTTTGGCCATGAATCTACGGGGTAACCCCATTTGAGTGTTGGGATACCCCCCACATATTAGAGAAGCCATTGGTATCCATGATTCAACCTACAAAAACAAAAACACTAAAAAGAAAATTAAACACATAAACCACCCTTCAAAGCGAAGAGTGGGTTAACAAACACGAAACAAAAATGGCTATAAGTAACAAACCAAAGCCTTTTCTCGATAACCTAGAATCTTCCCTAGCAATGGCGTGTCGACGCCAAAAACTTGACTCGCACTAACTACAACTTCCTAATCGAAGGCCAATCATAACCAACAATCGGGTGTAGCATAGGATAAGTAAAGTAATATATTATCAAATCCATGGGTCTCTAGATGTAGCTTTACTTCAACTTGGGTTTGTTATCTAGCCAAACAAGAACAGTGATTAAGACTAACCTATCTACACTAATATGACCACTACTCTACCTCACTACAAGGTGGTAGCTCACTTAGGCATGAATCCTCCTAATTTCTTTATTTGGTCGATGTTGAGTATGAGTACTACCCCAGATTGATTGACTCGATACCTCTACCCCGGAGAATTCTATACTAGGTTGGACTTCCTATTCAAGTTATCCAACCATGCCCAATTAACTACTTGGAGTGGCATACCGTACAACCGGCCTAGGCTATTGAGGTGTTCACAACCAACTCTCACAATTGGGCAAGACCCAATACATAGTGTGGATCCTATCACACTCATTTAAATACCCATAGTAAAGAATTGAATGTGCTCTATTCAACCCAGGGAGATATTCTCTCTCCTAGGTCAAAAACTCAATTGATATGTAGTGGGATCAAGACCCATGCAAGTCATCGTAAACATAAACTTCATATGTCATCGCAACACATGAAAAGATAAGAAATATTCAAGTTCAAAATGTAGAAGTAGCCTGAACTAACTATATTGATAATTTGAAAACTTTGAAGGCTGCAAGTTTTACGATTAGGCAAAGGTCAATTGATAAGTTAGCTCAAAGTAAAATGACATTAAATTTGATTCAACTTATTTCTTAGCATACTAGCTATCATCCTTCATTCACAAACATCGATTGTGCATATAATAGGCTGAAAATTAAGAAGAGAAGTCCATACATTTCAAGTAAATTTATACTTTAAATCCTCAATCGAAGCCCTAAATACATGATTCCACCTCCTAAATTCATCTAAAGATCAGGGGTACTTACAAGGATTGATGAGAAGTGCAAAAAAATGAAGGAAAGTCGAAGAATGAAGAGAGCGAAGGAGCGGCGATGTCGCGCCAGTTCGAGCTGTTGAGGCTTCTCCGGTGAGGTTTTTGGAATTTTGATGGTTGGGCTTTGTTTGTTTGGTGATGGTTGATGGTGAAAGTTTGAGTTTTGGAGATAGAATTGGTGATTGAAAGTTGAAGGTTTTGGGAGAAATCTGAAACCTAGAGAGAAGGGAGAGGATTTTTTGGCTAAGAGAGACGCAGGAAGTGAAAATTCGGGGGTTTGGGGTATGGTGGCTGCTCGTTCTCCTCCTTGATCTTAGAGTAGAACTTGGAATATAGCTTCTGATATGATCCTAATTCGAGAATCCACCCAAACTTGGACCAAAAATCAGAATTACGCAACGTCGAACTCTTTTGGGGTTTTCTTCTTTCTTCAATGACACGAAAATAAAGGATAGTCGCGGAAATCGATCAAACAGATCCGAACTTGTGAGAAGGGCCAATTGGTATATGAAACCAATCAAACAATCTCGAACCCGTGGATAAGTCTAATCGATATAGTCGATGCTCGCCACAACTAGACGCGTTCTCTAGTTGATAAGAGACCACTCAATTCTCATGAATCCTCAAAGGAGAGATTAAGCAAAACGTTCACAATTGAACTCACACAAACTCACTTGTATTTGATTGCTGAAAACTTGAATAAAAAATACATTGGTTGGACTCCTATTTATAGACCCACGAATCTAAACACAAAACAACTAAGGAAAACCAAATCCTACTTGAAAAAGGAAAACAAAAACCTTAACAAACAAGGAAAAGACCAAGTTAACAACTACCCTAGAACCTAGCCTTCAAATCCACCCCCCCCCCCCCCCCCTTTGTGTTCACACCATGATCTTTATCCATTGTTGATTTCATTCACACCTTGAGACTCCTTCTCCATGGCCGACCCTCCTTCCCTCCCTTTGAGCCCAATTTCGTGATCCACATAGCTCAATAGTGTGATGGACTTTCCTTCTAGCAAATCCAAGCTTAAGCCCTCCAACTCCTTAGCCAAATAGCTTGCAATTTGATCCCGAAAATCCTTATCCCTAGCTCGAGTCATTGGCCCTTCAACTTGAGTGTGTTTGGCTTTGATGACCTCATCAGCTTCTCCACCTTCAGTTTCTGCAGAACCACCCTTAGGTGCTCCTCGTGCTCCTCCTTGCTCTTAGAGTATATGAGTAGGTCATCTATGAAGACGATGACAAACCTGTCCAAGTATTCATGAAGAACCCAATTCATTAATGCCATAAAAGTTGTCGGTGCATTGGTCAATCCGAACGGCATGACCAAGAATTCGTAGTGGCTATACCGGGTCCGGAAAGCCATCTTGGGTACTGAACCATCTTCCACTCTCAACAGATGTTACCCTGACCGCAAATCAATCTTATGGCAAAGGATAGCTGTTCTTGATGGTATCCTTGTTCAACTTCCTATAGTCGATGCACAGTCTCATGCTGCCATCCTTCTTCTTCACGAATAGCAGGGTTGCTCCTTAAGGTGATACACTAGGGCGAATAAACCCCTTTTCCAACAGCTCCTGCAACTGCTCTTTCAGCTCCTTTAACTCTACTGGCGCCATGCGGTACGGAGGAATAGATATCAGTGTCGCACCAGGAATCACTTCAGTATCGAACTCCACCTCCCGCTGTGGCGGTAGCCCAGAAAGATCTTCAGGAAATATCCCATAGTATTCTCTTATGACAAGACATCTTCTATATTCTTCTCTTGAACCTCATTCACATGAGCCAGATAGGTGCCACATCCTTCTTGGATCAATGAGAACGCCTTAACCGCAAAGATTAAGCATCCAAGAATTAGCTTCTTAGTCTCCTTAAATAGTGCAGTGTCCTTTCCTTCTATCTCCATACGAAAATCTTCTCATAGCAGTCTATCTTCGCTCATTCTTTGAAAGCCAATCCATACCCAAGATAACTTCAAACTCGTCAAAGGGTAGTAGAATCAGGTTTGCCTCAAATTCGTGCCCTGCCACGGTGATAAAGCAACTCCGAATGACTGTGTTCACTATTAGGGTGTCCCCCACTGGGGTTCTTACCCCTAAATTATTCCCCAACCTCACAAATGGGATTCCTAAGGTTCTAGCATGCTTGGTAGAAATGAAAGAGTGCGTGGAACTGGAATCAAACAATACAAAAGTTGGCTGATAGTAAAGTGAGATCATACAAGTCACCACATCGAGTGCAACGTCAGCTTCTTCCCTCCTCATGGCAAACAGTCTTGGTTGCCCAACCGCTTGAGATACCTGCCCTTGATCTCGCTCGTTGAGCCGCTCTGCATTTCCTCCCTGCTGGTGATAAAACTGGTTTGGCTGGTTTCCAAACTGCTGACTGGTCTGGGTTCTTCCTCCTCCCCCCGAACTGACTGTTTGGATTTGGCTCTCCCTTGCACTCTTTTCCTAGGGAAATCTCTAGCATAGTGGCCCGACTCATTGAAGTGATAGCAGATGCCTCCAAGGTGTACCTTAAACTCTTCTGGGTGAGTTCTCCCAGACTGGTTGCATGGGTCCCGGTGAATGTAGGTCGGCACTGATCATGTTGAGCCTGCCTAGCTCTAGGTGGCCTCATAGTAGCTTTGGGATGGACTTCTCCTCTGCTGACTCGGCTGGCCTGGCCCCTTAGACATGCTAGCAGCCTTTCTCTTGTTCCCTTCTCGTTGCATCGCCTCCTCAGGTAGAGTCGTATCTGCCCTCTCTAACTGAATAGTTTCCTGATAGATCTCCTCCCTTTTGTTCCAATTTAGCATACTCAACCGGTGCCTAAAAGGAGGCTTCAGGCTCTCCAGGTAATGGGTGTGTTGAGTCTATGCATCCTACAATTGAGGTCCTCCATAAGTGAGCAGCTTGTCAAACCTTGACGTGTAATCAACCATGCTCTCTCTGCCTGAGTTGCCCCACTTCTGCCTTATCAACAAGAATTCCCTATGCTTCCCGATCCAGTAGGCCTTTGGTATAAAGTGGTCTATAAATAGTTGAACGAACTCTGGCCAGGTGATGACCGATGGGTCCTCTCGACTAGTTGGCTAGGTAGTCCACCAGTTGTATGCAACATCTTGCAGCAAGGACACTGTCAGCAATACTCTATCCTCGTCATCATCCCCCATCTCGATCAGCGTACAAGTGACCTTGGCTAGCCATTGCTCTACCTCCATGGGGTACGTTGAACGGTCCCCCTTAAAATCTTCCACCTTCTTCTTCCGGAAAGCTGCATAGTCCAGTGGAGGTCTCACTAGTGGTGGCATAGGTGGTGTGGGATTTTGGCCAACAATGCACTACAGACACATAAGGTCTCAGTAGAACTCATTTATTTCTTCATTAACATGGTTTAGAGTAGACTGGAAATTCTAAATCCTAAATAGAAATCTTTGACTTGTTTGGCCAAATTTTAACTTGAAATCTTTTCCCCTTCCTTTAAAAAACAAAACCTTTAAATCGTGATACCGATATTCCAGTATTCCTTGGAAACCAAGAAACGGATGAAACCAGGCTCTGATACCAAAATGAAACATCCCACTACTTTGAAACTTGAAATATAAGATTTCTACCCCGGGGTATATTTAAAAATTTCAAATAACGTAACTTTTAATAAAGTACCAATCTCAAGTAATTTAGTATCTCAAAGCAAAGCCCTAAACACGGGGCAAAACTTAAAATGTACTCTTAAGAGAAAGAAAGGAATCTTCACTTCTTAAACTCATAACCATAAAGTCTTAATAACTTAAACAATTCTCCAATGCTTACTCTGAAGCCTGGCTTAACTTTCCTCAACGATGGTGGTGTTGAGCTCCTCTAAATTGCTAGTCACGAACTGTCTGGTTATGATTTCATCCTCTACGATCTGGTGAGTGAGTTGGGGTCAATCTACGCCCTTATGTTTAAAACTCTCTAGTATAGTACTTAAACTGTATGGGAGTTTGTGCTACTCTCCATTCTTAAAACTCAAATCTCGACTTAAATACTTTATTGACACAGAGATCCCTCGCTAGCTAGTCCGGTTTCCCAAATCATACGTATGATAGCTCATCCAAGCTTTCCTTAAACTTAAACTTATTGTGGAAGTCTCAACGATTCATCCCCACGATTCTCAAGAGCATAACCGTTTCTCATCTTAAAAGTCTCAAGAGCATAATTGTTGCTCGTCTTAAAAGTCTCAAGAGCATAACTGCTTCTCATCTTAAAAGTCTCAATGGCAACAAACTGGCGCTAGTGACTAAAAACTCCTAAAACTACTTCACCTTCACTGAAGGTGAAGTACTTCTTAAAAGAAAACTTGTTTCTTAAACTTGAACTTACTTGTAAGTAAAGCATGCAATAACATGAAAACTGAAAGAATACTCACACGAACTCATATGGCATCATATAAAATATACAAATGCAAGTATGACACATAGCAGTCAATCTCAAAAACTTAAGTATCGCAAGACGTAGAAGTTACCCTCTTCACACTCACCTCTCAAAGGACGGTTCTTTACTTTCTTTGATATAGAGTGCCTTAATTCGATTGCTTTCTTATTCCTATAAACTGGAGACATTTCCCTTAGCCGAAACTCCTCAAAACCCCTTTAACGTACCGGGAAATTTCCCTCCTTAATTACTTAGTCTCAAAATCTCTTTAAAAAGGCCCTTAATCTCTTTTAAATAATTACCTTAAAAACTAGAATTTTTATCCCAAAAATTTCAAGACTTGAATTATTTCTATTAACTAAAAAACCTTGAATAAACTTCATAGATTTCCAAAATCTCTTACTCTCTTAAAACTCCAAATTATGATTTTGAATGACTCAAAACATTTGTCAAAATTATTAATCATAAATAACACCTTGATAAACCCCTTTTTCCACTTCAATTTTAACATAAATAAATTTATCCCTATATTACCAACGTCTAAAATTTCGATAATCAATTTTCTAATGTTTGCTCACGACTCTAATTTAATATTACCAACGTCTAAAATTATGATTATCAATTTTCTAATGTTTTCTCATGACTCTAGTTTCAGAATTATTATCAAAATTCCAATTATCAATCTTCTAATGTTTTCTCACGACTCTAGTTTCAAAATAAATTATCAAATTAATTAAAAAGGTAATTATATAAATTTTTATAAATAGTCGCTCAACTTGAAAAGTTCCCATATTAATTTTTGGTAACCCTACTATTTCCTAGTTACGAGCAAAATTACCTGACTCTAGAAAAATATCTCGAATTGTGTTTTAGTCCATTAAAAACTGTCGTTCAACTAATTTTTAAAATTGGAAATTTTGCTTGGAAACTTCCCAATTTTATAAACTACCATCCCACTAAAGTTTGAAATTTAGAAAATTATCAGCTTGCCTAAAACCTCACTTTAAATAGTCGCAAATAAATTCATCCAGGAGAACAATATGATTTTCGGGTCAAATTGTCAAACTTTAAGAACTTAAGGACTAAGCTATTTATTCAGGATAATTGGGCATTGATCTGGATATTTTCCTAACTGTCTTTAGCGACGACTCTGATTCTGTCGCTAAAGGACTTTAATTTTCGTCTCCATAACACGAAAAATCTCATACACGTACAATCAATCCACAACTCGATTTTTAATCAATGAGATCGAAAGCCTAACCTCTCGAACGAGCCTAGGACTAGATTCGATGGCTCGAAACGTTGTTCTCCTCGTGGAGTTCAGTTTGAGAGAAAGAAAGCATTCCCTGCTACCTCAAGTAGCAGGTTCAAATCGGCCTCCTCCCCAAATTCAAGCTGAGCCTCAGGCTAATAAACAACCTCAGGTAGTTCCCTACAAAAGGGATTATACTGAGGTGTGGAAGATGGGTGTTGAGGCCTTTAAGGGTTCTATAGATCGAAAAGTGATTTTAGATTGGCTGAAAAATATCGAGCGCATTCTCAATCCAATTGGTTGTCCTTATGACGTCAAGTTTGATTATGTTGTAGCTCTCCTCGAAAAAAATGCTTATGATTGGTGGTTAACCGTACCCGGAGTTATGGATAACACTGCTCAACTCACGTGGAACGATTTCTCCGACTGTTCAAAGAGTGATATGTGCCAGTCATTTACCAAGATAAAAAAAAGGTGGAGTTCTTAATGCTGAAACAAAAGGAAGGCCAGACAATGAACGAATATGAGGTGACCTTTCATCGTTTGACGACTTTTGCCATCGATATGGTCCCAAATGAAAAAGATAAGTGACTTCGATTTGAGAGGGGGCTCCGCAAAGAGTTAAGGTAAATTGTAGCCATGTCTGATACGGATGGTTATGGAAAACTGAAGGTAGCCGCAATAAGAGCTGAACTGATTTTAAATGAGAACAAGCCCCATACTCAAAGTTACGGGATCGAAGATAGGAAACGAAAGTGGAAGGGGTCATCCTTAGCAGGTCAAAGTAGAGTTTCTAGTTGAGGTCCTAGAAAGGGGAACTTTACTCAGCGTCCTCGAGTAAGTTTCCCTATGGGACATGCTAACCAAAACCAGATGGGTGCACCTCCACCACCTGAGTGCCCACATTGTGGAAGGATGCACCAGGGGAGTGTCAGATCATGACTAGCGCTTGTTTCAAATGTGGTGGTTTCAGGCATCTCATTGAAGATTTTCCAACTTGGGGAGATACAGTTTCAGTTAAGTCACAAACTATTATGCAAGGATCACGAGTGCCCAATAACTTCTCAAGGGGAAATCCTAGAGGTGGAGTTAGCAGGGGACTAGAACGTGGTTCTGAGGTCAAGGGGCACACAATTTGCCAAATGGGCAGAGCTGACATACATCCATGTGCATTTGATATAACAAGAACAGAGGTGAATGCATCTCTAGAAGTGGTTACCGGTATGGTTCTCATTAATGATAAACCCGTTTATGCCTTAATTGATCCTAGTTCTACTCACTCGTTCGTGTCTCATAAATTTTCACAACATATGCATCCTTGACCTGAATTATTGCCTAGCAAAATATTTGTGAAAACCCTTGTTGGTGATACTATTATGTTCAATCATATCTATGTTGATTGTCGTCTAATTGTATCTGGAGTAGCTTTGCTTGCTGACTTGATGCTACTTCAATTTGATGAATTCGATGTAATGCTGGGAATGGATTGGTTGAGTAGGCATAGGGCCGTGGTGAATTGTCATACAAAAGAAGTGGTATTTGAGGTACCCGAGCATGAAAGTGTTGTCTTTAGTGAAATTAGTCAAACAGTACCTAGTTTCCTAATATCTGCTTCCAAGGTGTTTAGCTTGATTAAGGAGGGGTGTGTGGCCTTCCTTGCTCATGTATTGGAGATTAAAGAAGAGAAAAAACCAGAAGATGTAGAAGTAGTGAATGAATTCCTGTATGTGTTTCCATCTAACCTACCAGGACTACCTCCTGATCGGGAGGTAGAATTCACTATTGAATTGCTAACGGGCACTGCACCTATTTCTATACCACCATATAGGATGGCACTTGTGGAGTTGAAGGGGTTGAAAGAGCAACTTCAAGATTTGCTAGTTAAGGGATTGATTAGGCTAAGTGTGTCACCCTGGGGTGCTCCCGTACTTTTTGTGAAGAATAAGGATGGAACCCTACGGTTATGCATTAATTACTGAAGGATTAATAAGGTGACTGTGAAGAATAAATATCCCTTTCCCCTTATTAATGATTTATTCGACTAATTGCAAGGGTCAAAAGTCTTCTCCAAAATTGACCTAAGGTCAGGATATCATCAATTAAAGGTGACAGAGGAAGCCATACCTAAAACAGCTTTTCGTACGAGGTATGGACAATACAAATTCCTTGTTATGCCATTTGCACTAACAAATGCTCCAATTGCTTTTATGGTGTTGATGAACAAGGTCTTCCAAGAATACTTAGATAAGTTTATGATAGTTTTCGTAGATGATATCTTGGTGTATTCTAGAAGTGAAGAAGAGCATAGAGAGCATTTGAGGATAATTCAAATCTTGAGGGATAAACGGTTGTATGCTAAATTTAGCAAGTGTGACTTCTGGATGGATCAAGTTATAATTCTGGGACATGTTGTTTTCAGAAGGGGAATTGAAGTTGATCCGAAGAAAGTGGAAGCCGTGGTGAAGTGGGAACCACTGAAGAGTGTACCAGAGTTACAAAGTTTCTTGGGAATGGAAGGTGATTACATAAGGTTCATCGAGGGATTTTCTATCATCGCCTCGCCATTGAAAAAATTGTTGAGGAAAGATCATCCCTATGTGTGGAAAACTGAATGCCAAGCTAGTTTTGAAGAGCTAAAGACAAAACTCAAAATTGCACCTATCATAGCACTACCAGCAAGGACATGTGGTTTTGTGGTACAGTGATGCCTCACATCAAGGCTTCTTGGGTTGTGTTCTAATACAAATGGGAAGGTGATTTATTATGCCTCAAGATAACTGCGACCATATGAAAAATCCTACCCTACCCATGACCTAGAATTGGCAACAATGGTTTTTGCTCTAAAGATTTGGACAGACTACTTGTATGGTCACTTTTCAAATCTTCACCGACCACTAGAGTTTGAAGTACCTAATGGGACAAAAAGAGTTGAATATGAGGCAAATAAAATGGATGGAATTGTTAAACTATTATGAATGTACTATTGAGTACCATCCGGGTAAAGCCAATGTTGTAGCTGATGCTTTATACTGGAAATCAAAACACTCTGATTCACAATCTGCATTAAATCCCACTAGGGAAATGCTAGCCTTACGGGCGTTGAATGCGAATCTTAGTGTGGATAATGATGGGGTTTTATTAGCTACTCTACAAGTACGATCAATCTTACGAGGAAGGATTCAACAAGCTCAAAATCATTATCCTTTTCTTAACAAGATAATTGAGAAGATTAAAAATGGGAAGGATGGAAAGTTTGAATTGCATAATGAAGTCCTTTCATTGAATGGCAGATTATGTGTTCCTAATGTGGATGAATTGCGTAGGGAGATCTTGGAGGAAGCTCACTCCTCACCTTATGCGATGCATCCTGGTGCAACAAAAATGTACCGCTCATTGAGATCACATCATTGGTGGCCCAGAATGAAGGAAGTGGCAGAGTATGTGTTGATATGTCTAGTATGTCTACGAGTGAAAGGTGAGCACCAATCACCTGTAGGGAAGTTACAACCATTACCCATTCCAGAATGAAAGTGGGAAAATGTTACTATGAATTTTGTCTACGGTTTGCCTAGAACTCAAAAGAAGAATGATGTTATTTGGGTGATTGTGGATCGACTAACCAAGTCGGCCCACTTTATTCCAATAAGATGGGGTTGTTCGTTGGAGCATCTGGCAAAAAGGTACGTAGAAGAGATCGTACGATTACATGGAGTACCCATATCTATAGTCTCTGATCGAGATTCGAGGTTTAACTCATGATTCTGGCAAAGCCTACATGATTCTTTGGGTACTTAATTGAACTTTTCTACTGCCTTTCATCCTCAAACAAATAGGCAAGCATACCATACTCACCCTGGAAAAATGTTAAGGGCTTGTGTCATGGATTTCCATGGCTCATGGGATGAACATCTATCATTGATCGTATTTGCATACAACAACCAATATCACAGTAGCATTGGGATGACACCATATGAAGCTTTATAAGGGCGAAAATGTAGAACTCTGATATCTTGGGATGAAGAGGCCTTGAGACAACTTGAAGGGCCTGAAATCAGGCAAGCTATAGTGGATAAAATTAAAGTGATTCAAGATCGGTTGAAATCTACCCAAGGTCGACAGAAAAGCTATGCCGATGCTCATCGACAAGAAATGGAGTTTACTGTGGGTGACAAGGTATTTCTGAAAGTGTCACTGTGGAGAGGAATCTTTCGATTTCGAGAGAAGGGTAAGCTAGGTCCTAGGTACATTGGGCCCTACGAGATTTTGGAGAAGATAGGTCTAGTAGCCTATATATTAGCCTTACCCCCAGAACTGGCTCAAGTACACAACGTCTTTCATGTAAGTGTACTTTGAAGATACCGATCGAACCCCTCACATGTGCTAGAACCTGAACATGTTGAGATACGAGAAGATTTAAGCTATATAGAGGAACCAGTGGAGATTGTCGATCAAAAACTCAAGCTACACCAAAATCGTAGTATACCGATGGTCAAAGTAATTTGGAGAAACCACTCGAATGAGGAAGCTATGTGGGAAACAGAGGAGAACACGAGGAATCAATACCTCTACTTGTTTAAAAGTAATTTTCGGGGACAAAATTTATTTAGGGGGAGGAATTGTAATATCCCACCCTCACGAATCGCTTAATACTTAAATCATGTAGGTTACAATACAAATGTTGGACACATTTTCTATTTGTTCATAGGGTTAATGAGATGAGTTGTAAAACATGTAGATCACATCTTCATATAACTAAATTTAACATGAAAAATTACATCATCCCAAACCCATCCAAGTTAGCCAATGGTAGAGCAAGAGAACCGAATACCACTAGGTCAATGAACATTTGAGTAGTTGTTTTGATCTGTCACTTTAAATTAGAACTGGTAAAACGGTCGGTAATCGGTTAAATCGATTATCATTAAACCGGTTATTGGTATACCAGAAGTCAGTACATCGCTGTTGTTTGCCGATACCGAGTAAATTCCGGTAAGTCAATTACCGATTAGGACGGTATCGGTTTTGCCCCGGTTACCCATTTTACCGCAAAGTGGTTGCGAAATTCAGTACTGCTGACTACTGCGGAAATTAGTGCCCCAAAGTGGAAGGAAATCAGTGTGCGGCCAATTAGCTATTTGACTTGGGATTTATTGGCTTATTGATGGAGAACATATAAGGTAAACCATAAATTACAAAACTACAAATATGTGAGTCGATGGAGAGGCCAATCAATCATTCAACCTTCATTGCATGAAATAGACGGAGAGGCCAATTGCTGGGCTGTTAGGCGAGCGATTAAGCTCTGATGCCGGTAGCTGACGGGGGTCGACGGAAACAGGGCCGATGGCGATGGGGTCTACGGAAACAGGGCCGATGGTGACGAGCCTGACGGAGAGGATGAAGTTGTGTACTAGGATGCTGAGTCATGTATCGTGGGTCGAGCTTGCGCCGACGACGGGGAGGACGAAGATTCCGCAGGTTCTGATCGGGCGGCGTTTGGATCTAGGAGCAAAGGAGGGATTAGGCGGTGTGACTCCTCATACGTTAGAGTCACGACCTTACTCTCAATCGTGCGGCCCTAGCTCTCAATTCCGTTAGAGCTCTAGGCAGCCTTTCTCTCAAGTCACTTGCAAGCAAAGAATAAGAAAGCAAAGACAAAGATATGGGAGAACTCTCTAGTGTGTATTACTCTAAAAAATGATGGAATGAGTACAAGTGAGGGAGATGGCTCCTTATATAGGCCTCTCCACATACAAGGCATCAATGCCCCTCATAATGTCCCTCTACTACATCAATACACCCATTAAGTCCCCCCATTATGCACTCTATCAATGTCACCATTATGTGACTCATAAGTGCACCATTAAGCTCTACATTAAGGTGGAGAATCCTAGGAGAATCTCTATGCTACTAGTCTTCCATGAATGCCACATGTGCAGCCGCCATGTTGTCACCTTGTTGGCGCCATGTCATCTGCCACATGTGACATCCTCCCCCACCTATGCTCGCGACGCCCTCGTCTCGTCCTCTTGATGGAATGCCTCGATCAAGTCCTTGTTCTTCCAAAGCGTGAGCTCTTTCTCCCATGTTGCTTCACTCTCCGGGAGGTTGCGCCACTTGACTAAGTACTCCACAAAGCTTGGATGTACGCCACGACGAGGAATGACACGACGCGCCATGATTTATTCGACTTCATGGTCGTGTGTCTTGGTGACGAGTGTTGGTGCGCGTTGCGACTCCCTTCGTTGCTCGTCCTCCTTGTCTTTGTGGTAAGGCTTGAGTTGGCTCACATGAAAGACCGGATGGATCTCCAAGTGCGTCGGCAACTCTACCTTGTATACCACCTTGCCAATCCTCTTCACGATGGGGAATGGCCCTTCATAGCGGCGAAGCAGTCCCTTGTGCACGTTCTTGAGATGCTTGAAGCGATGAGGGTAGAACTTGACCATCAACATGTCTCCCTCTTCAAACTCCAAGTGCCGCCTCTTCTTGTCCACCCATTTCATCATCTTCTTACTGGCGCGGGCTAAGTAAGACTTGGCCATCTCCATCTTCTCATGCTAGCCTTTAGCGAACTTGTAGGCCGCCGGACTGTTGCCTCTATATCCCGTTGCCACCGTCGTAGGTGTCAAAGGTTGCTGCCCCGTCGCCAACTCAAATGGACTCGTGTTGGTCGACTCGCTGCGGTGCAAGTTGTAGGAGAACTGTGCTGTGTCCATCAACTTCACCCAATCTCGTTGATTTGCAATCACGTAGTGCCGCAAGTACACTTCCAACAAGGCATTCACCCACTCCGTCTGTCCGTCGCTTTGAGGATGAAATGCCGTCGAGAAGTTCAAGTTTGAGCATATGATCTTGAACAACTCTCGCCAAAATCTGCCCGTGAAGCGCCCATCTCTGTCGCTCACAATGCTGCTAGGAATGCCCCAATACTTGACCACGTTCTTGAAGAATAGACGTGCCGCATCCTCTGCCGTCAAGTCTTTTGGCCCGGGAATGAACACTCCATACTTCGAAAACCTGTCCACCACAACCATGATGCAACCGCATCCATCGACTTTGGGAAGTCCGATGATGAAGTCCATGCTTACACTCTCCCATGGTTGTTGAGGCGTGGGCAAGGGCTCTAGCAAGCCTGCCGGGCTTCTCTGCTCCATCTTGTCTTGTTGGCACACAAGACAAGTCTTCACATACATCTCCACGTCGTCTCTCATACGTGGCCAGAAGTATGCTTCTTCGATGAGTGCTTGCGTTCTCTCGACGCCGGGATGGCCCGCCCACTTGGAATCATGGCACTCCTTCATGATCTCTTTCCTCAAGTTGGCCCATCTTGGCACGAACACCCGCTCTCCCTTGGTCATGATGAGCCCATCCTTCATCCAAAACCGTCGAGTTTTACCTTGCTCGATGTACTCCGCTACGGTTTTGGCGAAGGGGTCATGGCCAAGGACTTCGACGATCCGCCCCTTCAAAAGATACGTGGGCTGGCTGATGCTTGCGGCTGCACTCTTGCGGCTAAGAGCATCGGCAACGGAATTCGCCTTGCCTGGATTGTACTCCATAACGAAGTCGAACTCGGCCAAAAAGTCTTGCCACCTCGCTTGCTTAGGGGTGAGCTTCTTCTGCGTCAGAAAGTAGCTCGTTGCCACGTTGTCCGTCTTCACTACGAACTTTGACCCCAACAAGTAGTGCCTCCATGTGCGCAAGCAATGCACCACGGCCGTCATCTCCTTCTCTTGAACGGTGTATCGCCTCTCCGTCTCGCTAAGCTTCCGACTCTCGAAGGCAATGGGATTCCCATCTTGCATCAACACTACTCCAATCGCGAAGTCGGACGCATCGGTCTGCACTTCGTAGGCCAACATCGGGTTGGAGAGCACGAGCACGGGCTCCTTCATCACTGCCGCTTTCAAGGCCTCGAACGCTTCTTGGCACCTTTTCGACCAATCCCACGCCTTGTTCTTCTTCAAGAGATCCGTCAAGGGTGCTGCAATGTTGGAGTAGCCCTTGATAAACCTCCGATAGTAGTTGGCAAGGCCGAGGAATGACCGCAACTCTGGCACCTTCGTCGGCGGCTCCCATTCTTGGATTGCCTGCACCTTCTCTCCATCCATCTTCAACTTGCCTCCACCAATGACGTGCCCCAAGAATGGAACCTCCGTGGCGGCAAATGTGCACTTTTCCCTCTTGACGTACAACTCATTGTCGCGAAGGACTTGGAAGACTTAGCGTAGATGCTCGGCATGCTCATCGAGTGTTTTTGCTATACACAACGATGTCATCCAAGTAGACCACGACAAACCGGTCCAAGAATGGCTCGAACACTTGATTCATCAAAGTGCAAAACGTGGCTGGTGCGTTGGTGAGACCGAATGGCATCACAAGAAACTCGTAAGAGCCATACCTCGTCACACAAGCTGTCTTTGGCTCATCGCCCTCTCCTATCCGCACTTGATAGTAGCCCGAGCGAAGATCTAGCTTGGTGAACCACATTGCATCTCCAAGCTGGTCGAACAAGTCAGCAATGTTGGGAATTGGCCACTTGTTCTTCACCGTCAACTTGTTGATGGCTCTATAGTCGATGCACATCCGCAACGACCCTTCCTTCTTCTTTTGGAACAGCACCGGTGCTCCAAAAGGTGACTTCGATGGCCGCATGTAGCCTGCGTCCACCAAGTCCTTGAGTTGCCTCCGCAATTCTTCTAACTCCGGTGGCGACATGCAGTATGGTGCTCGCGAAGGGGGCTTCGCTCCTGGCTCCAACTCGATCTTGTGGTCCACCTCTCTTCTTAATGGCAGCTTCTTGGGCAACTCCGATGGCATCACGTCATCGAACTCTTCGAGGACGTCTTTGATGATGGGAGTTGTGATTCCCGTTGAGCCTCCTTCTTCCTCCATTTTCAAGGACACAAGAAAGGTTGGTTCATTCTTCTTGAACCCCTTCACCACTTGCATAGCGGATAGAGCACTATGGGGGCCATCTTCTCTCAAGAGATGGACCGCATGAAATTCTCCTTCCTTCTCCAAGCACATCGTGTTGGAGTTGGGCTTCAAGAGCACTCCTTCCTTGTCGAGGAAGTTGATGCCGAGGATGACTAGGTGATCATCCATGGTGACGACGGAAAAGTCGATGCGGCCTTCCCACTCGCCAAGCTTCATTGGTACGTTGTGAGCAACTCCATGGATCGGGATGGACTCCGAATTGATCGTCTTGAGCCTCCCTTGCCCCTTCTCGTAGGCAATACCCAGCCGGTTTGCCTCCTCGATGCGAAGAAAGTTGTTCGTGGCACCGGTATCCACCAAGGCTTTTGACTCGCCTTGCATGAATTGCGCCAGAACATAGCACCTTCCACGCTTGCTCTCCTTGACGTCGATCTTCGCAGCGCCAAGCTTGCGGATTGAGCCAATCTTGGCCTCCGCTGCCTTGGGCTCCTCCTCTTGAGCTTCCATGGCCGCCAATCTCGCCTTTCTTGGGAAATCTCGCACTCGATGTGGTCCATCGCAAAGGAAACAAGACATGGGTTTTGGCTCGTACTTACCCCCTTTGCTCGAACCACCTTGGTGTTGTTGAGTGCGAGAACCCTTCTTGAAAGGCTTCTGCTGTTCTCCACCCTTGTTGGGCTTCGAACTCTTCTCTTTGCCGCTGCTCTCTTGCCTTTTGTACTCGACAAAAGACTCCGCCGTGGCCATGGCAGTTGCAAGGTCTTGCACTCCTCGACGTTGCATCTCCATCTTGGCCCATGGTTGCAGCCCATCAAGAAAGCCCGTGCATGGCCTCCTTGTCCGTGATGTCCGGGATCTCTAGAAGCAGCTCCGAGAATTCTTTCACATATTCTCGAACTCCACCCCTCTGGGTGAGTCTTCTCAACTTCGAACGGGCTTCAAACTCCACGTTCTCTGGGTAGAACTGCCTCTTGATTTCTCTCTTGAAATCTTCCCACGTTACCATCACACAAGTACCTCTTTCGACGTCCGCTTCACGTCGCCTCCACCACACCATGGCAACATCAACCAAGTAGAGTGGAGCGGTACGGATTTTTACCTCATCCTCTTGGATGCCGGACGCCTTGAAGTACTGCTCAAGACTCCAAAGGAAGTTCTCTAACTCCCTTGCATTCCTTGAACCTCCGAAGCTCTTCGGTCTTGGAATATCAGCACGTGGGACGGATTGCACCGTGGCTGGTCCGCTAGCCATGGCTCTCTTCACGAGAGTCACCTCACTCTTGAGATTTGCAATCTCCTCCTTCACGCCGACCAGCTCAGCCTGGACATGCTCTTTCACAACTTCAATGGCGTTGTTCAAGGATGTGTTGATGGTGTTGTTGATGAGGGCCACAAGCTCTTCTCGTATGCCATCATGACCAATCTCCAAGCTCGACAAACGGGCATTCATACCTTGAAAATCGCTTTCGACTTGGGCGAAGTTAGCTCCCAAATCCTCGATGGCGGTGACATCTTCAGAAATCTTCACCTCCATCCTCGAGACTCGCCTCTCTAGAGACCTGAGAGGATCACGAGTGCTCGACTTGTCTTTTGGCCTCCCGCCTGGGGTAGGCTCTCTGCCACGATGCTTCTCATCGTCATTGACTTCTGATCCCGACATTTCTGTTGAGGTTCTTCCTTTCCTTCTGGCTATTGCTTCTACTTTGCAAGCACAAAGTCGAACCAGGCTCTGATACCACTTGTCACGACCTTACTCTCAATCGTGCGGCCCTAGCTCTCAATTCCGTTAGAGCGCTAGGCAGCCTTTCTCTCAACTCACTTACAAGCAAAGAATAAGAAAGCAAAGACAAAGATATGGGAGAACTCTCTAGTGTGTATTACTCTAAAAAATGATGGAATGAGTACAAGTGAGGGAGATGGCTCCTTATATAGGCCTCTCCACATACAAGGCATCAATGCCCCTCATAATGTCCCTCTACTACATCAATACCCATTAAGTCCCCCCATTATGCACTCTATCAATGTCACCATTATGTGACTCATAAGTGCACCATTAAGCTCTACATTAAGGTGGAGAATCCTAGGAGCATCTCTATGCTACTAGTCTTCCATGCATGCCACATGTGCAGCCGCCATGTTGTCACCTTGTTGGCGCCATGTCATCTGCCACATGTGACAGTAGGCAGGGGAGAGAGTCAGAGTCTCAGAGAGCGATGCAAATAGTAATTACTAATTTAGTTACGAGGTTATTTACTTAATTAGAGTTGGTACACGCTTGCTGCCGACATTTTGCTGCCCTTTCATATTCGGTTTCGGAATACCCGATGGTAAATTACCGAGTTCGCATCGGTATACCACTTCCCACAATTCCACGTCCGAATACCGTTTCAAATTGTTAACGGTTTAACCAGTAACCGCGATTACCGGTATCGTTAACGGTTAAACCGTTAACCAGCCCTACTTTAAATGAGGTTCTATTTCCCACACATGAGCAGTAGAGAACACGGGGTTAGTGGGTTTTGTTTGGTCCGTAGCTAATGAAGTTGATGTATATGTGGTAGTGGCTGAAGGAATATAATGCATGAGTTAATTAATCATTACTCTGCATGCTGATATACTGGGAGCACTTCGCACCCAAGCAATCATGCGTGGAATGGAGATTGTAGTTGGCTACCTGGTTATGGATTAAAAATATTGTTTGTGTGTTTGGAAATGCTTAAGTATGGATATATAAACACAGGTGGCCTGAGTATATATATATATATAGCTCTTTGTATTATCATTGTTTATACATGCAAGTATTGCGAAAACTCGCAGTGGATGGAAATGGAATAGGAGAAGTAAAACGTTTGGGTAATTATGTGGGGGTTCAGGTGGGGAAAAGATTAATATATGTATCTTAGTAGTGGGGTTTCATATGTGTATTCTTAATCATGATTAAGACTAAAAAAATGGGGAAAGCTAAAGAATAAGATACAAGTGTTCTGGGAAGGGTAATTAATTGGGAGGATTAAGTGTTTATAGACTATATGGTTTTAATTAAGTTGTTCGATAATTATTTGCTCGTGTATTAAACATGTTTATATGATTTATTAAAGGAAATGAGCATGCCAGAGAAGGCAAAAGAGTTTAGCAGAGTAATCGAGTTGTGAGTAAATTCTAACCTAAGATATTTTGATTTCTCCTAAATTCTAACATAATCGAGTTTATATGATTTATTAAAGGAAAGGAGCATGTTTATAAGATAGTTTATGATATTTATATGGTTCCTTTCGTTTTGGATCAATTTTGATTTCTCTAAAATATTTTGATAAAAGTAGTGCACTACTGGGCTAGGGATTCAGTTTTCGTGACCGAATGGGCTTTTAGCAAATAAAAAAAATAAGAACCAGGAATGGGCTTTACGTTGTTCCACAATGGCTACCCAAACATAACAAGCTCGATCGGCCTGCAAACTACTTTTATATAAACTTAACTCCCTTGGCGGCACTCCCCAAACCCTAATCTTCACTCTGCTCTCGCTGATAGCCTTCCAGCGTCTACATCTCTGCAACCGCATCTCTGCAACCGGCTGGGTAAGATCAATCTCTTCCTGCACCATTGAATTTCTTTTATTCGTTTTTTAATATCTGATCGGATCAATTGGTTGGCGTTAGGTATTGCTGTTTGAGTTTCTGAGGCTATTTTACTGTTTCTGTATCGCGCAGTAGCTATACACTTAAAAAATTTCTAGCAATGGCGGTTGCATTCCATGCTCTCAACACACCAGCTGGCCTCAAGAAACTCGATGAGTACCTTCTCACTCGCAGTTACATCACTGGGTAAGTTCTATTTTAGGCTGGAGGACTGAATTATGCGATTCTTTGATGTGATATTTCAGCATGAAATTTAATTATCCGATTGATGATGATATTATGCTTTGCCCTTCTCAGATATCAAGCTTCTAAAGACGATATTACCGTCTACTCAGCAATTCCCAGCGCCCCATCATCTGATTTGGTCAACCTCACTAGGTGGTTCAAGCACATCGATGCGCTTTTGAGGATTTCGTAAGTTCCAGAGTAAAATTTTTCTTCTTTGATTTCTGTGTTTCTCTCTTGTTTGATCTAACATTGGCCCTTGGAGGAGGATTGATCTGTGATTTGGTCATCTTTGCAGTGGTGTTACTGGAGAAGGGTCTGGAGTTACCATTGTGGGATTTGCTCCTGTTTCTGAAGCAGTTGCAACTCCTCCTACCGGTGACACCAAGGTGAGTGATTCCTTTCTGGTTTCGCTGCGAGTCTTATTATATGAATCATTTGTCTCTTGTTTTAGGGCCAACTCCATTAGCAACTCCTATTAGGTTAGTTTAGCTGGAGAGCTTTTATTTAGTGAAGTTATAAAAACTTGATGTCTTTGTGTGTTGTAGGCTGCCGCTGCTGCTGACGATGATGATGATGATGTGGATCTGTTTGGTGAAGAGACTGAAGAGGAGAAGAAGGCTGCAGAAGAGCGTGCAGCTTCTGTTAAGGCATCTTCTAAAAAGAAAGAGTGTAAGTCTAGCTTTAATTTATTGCGCACCGTTATGAATATGTAGATTCTATGGGTGGATATCTATTGCTTTATTTGTTTCTGCCTGTATATCACTTCATTAATGGAATTTGATGTTGAAAACTTTTTCCCCGTATGGGGTTCATGTGTTTCCTTCTCAGCTGGCAAGTCTTCTGTTCTAATGGATGTTAAGCCGTGGGATGATGAGACTGACATGAAAAAGCTTGAGGAAGCAGTCAGAAGTGTTGAGATGGAAGGACTATTCTGGGGAGCATGTAAGTCTTACATTGCTTTGCTATTTAGCGCTTTTTTGTTCCTGGTTGCTCTATTTTCATTACAAAGAAAGGGAAGAGTGATATTGCTTTGTATTATTTTTTAAAATATTTATGATTGAGACCATATACTATGCTTTCAGTAGTGTCTGTTATGTACTCCTTTATTCCCTCTTTGCTACTTCTTATTTTTTTGTTGTTGTTGTTGTACTTTGTTTCCTCCTTCAGCCAAGCTTGTAGCGGTTGGGTATGGTATTAAGAAATTGCAGATCATGCTTACTATTGTGGATGACCTAGTGTCAGTTGATACACTCATTGAAGAACGGTTGACTGTGGAGCCTATCAATGAATATGTCCAGAGCTGTGACATTGTTGCCTTCAACAAGATCTGTGAGTACACTGCCTGTGCTGATACACATTCATATCACTTGAGGATTGCTCATTTGTTCCAACAAGTGCTGGTTCTCATTTTTGTCGTCCTAATGTTGTTTGCAGAAAGAGGGGTGGATGTCGATGATACCGGAGGGTGCATTTGGAAAGGTTTGAAGCGGTGGTTCTGCCTCCTGTATGCTCTTTTCCGTTTCCATATCTTGTTATGAGAAGTGAATTGCCAGTTGCCTTATTTGAACTATAGCCAGTTGCCTTGTAACTCCTTTACTTTTGTTCAATCATTCTTGGAGTCTTGGAGAGAGAATCATTATGTGTAGTTGTGCTTGTGTCGTCTATTGAGACGTCTTTTCTTGAGGCGTTTTCGTGGTATAGTCGTAGGTCAGAAGCGTAAGTGCAAATAAGCCATGCCATGATAGTGTTTGCTGCACTGGAAATATTTGACCCTACATATGTGACTTGTTAGTTGATATTAACCTAAGCAGGCTTGTTAAGTTTTAGAGTAATACAATATATTAGTTATAACTAATATGTTAATTATAACTATTAAGCATCGGGATGTTATAGTCACAACTATAATAATATGAAATTAGCCATTTCTGTCCAAATATCTGTTAACTTATGCCGAGGTAGCATGTTAAGTGTTAACTTGTAATACATCTCTGACGTGGAAACATTAATTTCAAAATAATTAAAAATAGAAGCGTGCACTACATGATTAATAAGGAAGGCAGGGACAGGCTTGATGGGTCGAGCCATCACTACATATGCAAAACTCCTTCCTCGGAATGCGTTAGCCTGGTTTCTTTTTTTTAAGTAACCACCATGGCTACCTCCTTTTTTGCCATACAGATTAGGTAAATTCAATTGGAGGGCCCATTTTGTTGAAGGGTGTTTTTGGAAGGGACCACACAATCATTACTGGGCCCGAAATCAAAGCAAGATTTCCTTGCCCCACGCTTCCCTTCTTTATTGTTTCTTTCCTTATCAACGCAGCTCCCAATGCCCTTTTCCCTTTTCCTTTTTGCAGAGAGCAGAAGCTTCTCTTTCCGCCGTGATTTCTCTCCGGCGTTGTATTCTCTATCCGCCGCCGCATTCTCTCTCTGGCGTCGCGGCGCCGAGTCTTCTTCCGTCTTTACCATTGCTCCCTCGCGCAAACAGAGAAGCCTTTTCTGGACCGTCGCCGCCGTCATTCCTTTCTGGCGAGGGTTGTCGGCGACTGGTTCTTTATTTGTTGGTGGGTAAACTAGCGTTTTCGGCGTCTCCCTACGCTGTTTACAGTTCCTGTTCGTTCCACTCCGACGGCGCACCAACGACATTCATCTTAGCTCCTCCGGTGTACCCGTTTCGTTTCCCATCGCAGGCGAAAGAAACTTGACCGTTTCATTTTAGCTCTTCCGGCATCCATTCCCGTTGTCAGAACGTCTCCCGCCAAAACTCTAATCTTCAATTTTAAACGTATCGTGGATTTGGTTTTGTTTGCTTTGGTATTCTTCTTGTTTTTGTATCGTTTTTGGTAGTGATTTAGTTTTTGGTTGTTCGGATTGGTAGGTTCTAGTGCATTGGTAGTGATATACATACTTGTGAATCTGTGATGTGTGGTGTGGAATGGTAATGTTTTGTTAGAATAGTAGTTTTCAGGTTGTCGAATGGTAGTTTCCACCTGTCTGTGAAACCGTGCTTTTTGATGTGGAATGGTAGTGTTATGTTGGAATGGTAGTTTTTTTGCTGTTTTGAATTGTAGTGTTATGTTGGAATGATAGTTTTTTTGTTGTTTTCTTTCATGCATTGGTAGTTTTCTGCATACATGTGAAACCGTGCTTTTTTATGTGGATTGATACTGTTCTGTTCGAATGGTAGTTTTTTAGTTTTTTTGAATGGTAGTTTTCTCCATACATGTGAATCTGGTGTTTGATGTGGATTGGTAGTCTTCATTTGGATTGGTAGTTTTTTTACTGTTTTGAATTGTAGGGTTATGTTGGAATGGTAGTTTTTTGCTGTTTTCTTTCATGCATTGGTAGTTTTCTGCATACATGTGAAACCGTGCTTTTTGATGTGAATTGGTACTGTTCTGTTTGAATGGTAGTTTTTTAGTTATTTTGAATGGTAGTTTCCTTTCATGCATTGGTAGTTTTCTCCATACATGTGAATCTGGTGTTTGATGTGGATTGGTAGTCTTCATTTGGATTGGTAGTTTTTTTTCCATGCAACGGTTGTGATGCTTGATTAATGTTAAATGACTTACCTCCCATTTTCCCAATTTTAGGAATGGCAAGAACCAAGAACCCCAGTCATAGGGGCTCAAAACACAAGGAACCTGTTACCTACAACAGTCATCAGGTTCAAGTTGGAAGTGGGCAAACCTCTGCCCTGATGAAGCTGTGCCGCAGAAGGATATGGGTAAATCTAAACCACCTGGGAAGAAGTGCAGCCCCACATCGATTATATCAATTGTCGAGAATGGTATAACAAATGCAAGGATAGAACTAATAAAGAAGCTCAGATTGGATTTTGTTTTCCATTTGAAGATGAAAAGGTTTGACAGCGAGCTGCTTATCTGGTTGATTGACCATTTCAATGGGGACAGCATGTCGATTCAGATGGCTGATGGGCGTCACCTAGTCCTTACAGTTGATGATGTGCAACGGGTTTATGGCCTTCCTCGTGGTCAAAAGCAGGTACCCAATGTCAACATTAATAAGTGCAAGACACTGCCGGGACAGCTGTTGCAGATTGATTCAAACGAGAAGGGTTGGAACAACCTCTGGATCCGGATGTTTGTAATGTTGGTGTTTGGATATTTGTTGGAACCTACAAGTTCGACAATTGGTCCAATATCAGTGTTGGCATTCCTTCAAGACAACAGTTTCAGCATATTCTCTGAGTATGACTGGTGTACGTATGTTTGGAAGAAGCTGAAGAAGTGTCGTATGGGCAGTAAGATAGCGTCCTATGCCAATGGGGATCTGCACCTCCTGACATGTTGGTTCCTGGACCGGACATCTGAAACCCTCAACATCACCACCGACCTGCCATCGTGCAAGCATTATGACCATACTGAGGTGTACCAGAGGAGAGTTGGAATATTGGAAAAGCATATGGCTTTAGATCGTGTGCCATACATCCACATCGGCACTGAGCCCAGGAAGAGGAATCCCTCAGACTCTATTGTGAGGTTGATAGAAGCTAGGAAAAAGAAGGCCAAAGTTAGTGAAACTGGAACTTCATATATAGCCCCTACATTCATTCCTGCATTCAGTGAAGGCCAAAGTCAGTGAAGTTGGAACTTCATATACAGCCCTACTCATGTCCCAATTCTAAGTCTGTTCTCTTGTAATTAATTAGTTTAATCTATCATCACACTCATAATTTACTAATTTAGCTGCTGTTGTTTCATCTCACAGGCGTTCTTACCTATGCCCGCCGCGTTCTTGAGCAGGGGAGGCCGGAGGGAGAGGCGCGCCGGCTGAGGAGGAGCGGAGGCCGGAGAGGAGCAACGGAGCGGCAGAGGAGCGGCGGAGAGGAGCAGTGGAGCAGATCAGGGATTGCGGTGGGTTGCCTCGCCGCCGGTCGATGGTCACGGGCTCGGCGGTTCCTGGTCGCCTGAGGAGAACTGGAGAAGAGGAGCGACGGGGGTACCTACTACCTTGACCGTTAAGTGCGAACGTGGCAGACGGAATCACCTAGTCACCTTTTCTTAACCTGAAAAAATAAAATTGAAATCCGCCACATCATAAAAACCAGCCACATCATGGAAACCTAACCTAACCATGGTCACCCATTAACCCGTGACCCAACCCCTCCTCGGATCCGGCTACTCCCAAATCTACGCCTCCATCTACCCCGGCTCCGACGCTTCCCACCTCTTCAAACTCCCAGGCTCTACCGGCCATCGACTGAAGATCTTCGAGGCTGACCTCCTCCACAATCGTTGGTTGTCGCGGTCTCTTCCGCGTGGCTTCCCCTTGCTCCCTCGAAGACCCTGCCGATCCCGATAGCCATCTTCTCTCCTCGCCTTCCAGGGCACCCTCAACGCCCTACAAGACGCCATCGATTCAAATCTGGCACGCGTCGTCCTCACTTCGTCCATCTCCAAGTTGGTTCCCAACCCAACACTTACCCTCCGAGAATATCTTCGTCGAGTCCTCCTGGACCGATCTCGACTATTGCAGGTCGCGATAGTTCAACTGGCCTCCACATTCAATTAGTTCAAGCCATGAGCCATCCATGACTGCGTTCAATCATTCCAATCGGGCTTTTCTTTTTGGTTGCGGAAATGGCATCCGATGTCGACGATGAGGGAGAGAGCTGTGTGGGGGATTTGCGAAGAAGAATGAGATCGAGAAAGAGGAACGGACTTGTGTTGGTGGATTTGAGAATGGCGCCTGTTGTGGAGGGTTAGGGAAGGGGGGTCGGGGTGGTTGTAGAGATGAATAAAGGATTGGGAGAAGAGGTGTTGTTGTTGGCGGAGAGGCGGCTGGTGGTGGTGGCGATAACGGTGGGGAGAGAATTCCGGAAGATGGAAAAAGATGGTCGGGCAAAATGTGGTTAGGTTGGGTCATTGGTGACATAGCAATTTTTCTGACGTGGCGCGTCATTTTTTATTTAAATTTGGGTACATCATCACTTTTGTTAGCCACGTCAGGAAAAATCCTAATGTTGTTAACGGAGATTAATGGAGAGTGATCAAACATGACATGTTTTACCAAAACTAGTGACCACGAATAGAATTAATATTTTAGTGACCAAACATGAACGTTTTTTTAATTCCAGTGACCAACCTTACAATTAACCCGATATTTTAACAAAGGAATAATTTCGAACTTAACTCTCATCGACACTGATTTTTTTGAGGGAAAGGAGGGACCGCACCTCCTGTAATTTTATTAATTAAGCCAAATGGCTAGAATCCAGGTACAGATCGTTCAAAAGGAACGATGGGGAAATACCTATCCAACTATTACAATGATTTAAATCAACCTGAACATGTGCTAAAGTGTGAGCCACAGTGTTAGCTTCTCTATGAGTATGCTTCCAAGCGTAACAATCCTCAACGCCCTCCGCCTGCAGAATGGCCTCGCACACCGCTCCAAGTTCTGTCAAGTCGACTCTCTGCTGCCGCAAGGTGTTCACCAATGTTAAGCAGTCCGACTCGACTTCAAAGGGGCCCATCTGTTGTTCATTCATCTTTTCCAGCGCAAATAACACAGCTCGGCCCTCTGCGACTGCTGGGCACCATCTCTCTGCCTCCCTTTTCACTGCTGCATACTTGAAGGCTCCGGTCCAGTCTCTCACAACCATGCCCAATCCTGTTCCTCCCTCTCCCAAACACCCAGCATCAGTATTCACCTTCAAGATACCAATCCCCGGTGGCTGCCAAAATTTTCTCCTTGTGTCTTGCTCCCTTCTTCTCCCTGCTGCCTGTTGTTCATGTCTATACTCTAGAATCCAGTTTTGGGCTCTCATAGCTACCTCTTCCTCATCCAACTTCTTCCCATTAAACTGCTGGTTATTTCTTTCGTTCCAAAGAAACCACATTAGCGAACTAACCTCCCCCGCTGTATATGAGCTTGTTGAATTGAGAAACCTGTTCAGCCAAGCTGGCAAGCCTTCCCCTTCCACAAAACCACACTGGTCCGGCCAGGCCGATCTTCTCCACACTCGTCTCGACCAACCGCACTCCATAAACCTATGTTCATGTGTCTCTGCCAAACCACAATAGGGATATTCTGGTTCTATCTTTTCTTCCATTTTCTTTGCTAAGTTCATGTTGGTGGGTAGGATGTTCTGCATAATCTTCCAGATGAAGAACCGAACTTTAGGTGGTGAATTAACCTTCCAAATAGTCTCCCAATTTGTGTTGGGCAGAGTATGCGGGACTGGAATTTCCTCCTCCCCTTCCTCAAACTCCTCAACTGGCTCTTGAATAGCTAGATCATAACCCGATTTCACACTGTAGACTCCATTGGGAGTCAAATCCCAACATAGAGAATCATTTGCCGGCCGATTCTGTAGGTGGACAGCCTGAATTCCTCGCACCTCTTCTGGGGAGAACAACAGTTGCAAAACATCAGCCCTCCATCTGTTATGTTCATGATCAATGAGGTCTGATACATACTCGAAACCCATCTTCCCATTAGACCCAACCATCAGCTTCTTTCCTTGTAGGCCTGGCACCCACCAATCCTCCCAGATTTTAATGCTTGAGCCATTTCCTACCCGCCTTCTGCATCCCTTCAAAATTAGATCGCGGGCCGAGAATAAACTTCTCCAGGTATAGCTCGGTCGGAAACCCACCTGCGCATCTAACACTGAGCAGTTAGGAAAGTATTTTGCCTTCAGGATCTGACCGACTAGTGATTCAGGCTTCTGCATCAATAACCATAGTTGTTTGGCTAGGAGGGCCTTATTAAAGGTTGCCAACTCCTTCAATCCGACCCCCCCTTCTGCTTTACTTCTGCACAGGTAACTCCATTTGCGCCAATGTATCCTGTTTCTATTCTCATTTTCACCCCACCAGTAGTTAGATATAATGCTGTTGATCTCACTCACAAGGCAGCCCGGTAATTTGAATACAGACATCGCAAAGTTACCTTGTGCCAAAGCTACTGCTTTTATCAAAACATCTCTCCCGACCGTGGAGATCAGCTTGCCCTTCCAGCTATGTATTCGGCTTCGAATCCTTTCTTTGATTTCCACGTCAGCGATCCGCCCCACTAGCGCCTTCACTGCTGCCGTTAGATGCAGTGAGGCGCGGATTGTGGTTTTTCTCCACGATCCGACGCCTCACGCCGCGCCACGTCAGCAATCCAAGCCTTCACCGCGTTAAATGAACGCAGTGACTTCACTGCCTTCATCCGACGCGGTGATTGGTTCCTGGTGAGATTTCCAGCGCCCCTTTCCCCTATAAATACCACTCCCCCCCCCCCCCCCCCCCCCTCATTCCAAACCACACCAAAATCTTATACTTCTTTCTCCCTCCTTGACTTTACTCTAGTTTCGTTCTAAGTATGCTCTGAGGTTGCGGCTAAGTCCGATCTTCCGCATCAGAAAGAATTACTAGAGTTTTTGTTTTGTCGATACTCTCGCTAGCTTTTCGGCAAAAAATGGACGAAGAGGCTTTGAGAGTACGTGAATTAATTTTATTCTTTTGTGATTTTTTTTACATGGGTGCTAAAATTTAAATTGATTTGATTTTATATTTTTTTATAGATGGGTGCTGAGATATACGACCCTCGATTGTATATCGATCCTGGCCCAAGTGATCGAAGGTATTTAACCGGGCAAGATCAACATCGCTCCCGTTCAATTTGGAACAATAATCCGGTAGACACACTAAAATTATTTCAATAGTTTTAAAGTTTTTATTTTGCTTTCTATTGACTGACAATATTGTGTTTTTTGTTTTGTAGGAATCACTTATTCCCATCGCTCATCGAGAGACATGTCGATTGCCCCGTTGGCATGATCGACTCCAGCCCTATATAGAGAGGACGGGATTGCACATGCTGAGGCACTTTACGAGGCTTGATATTGACAACGATCTGCTGACGGCAATGGCAGAGCGATGACGCCCCGAGCTGCATACCTTCCACTTTCCCGAGGGTGAATGACGATCACCCTCAAAGATGTTGCCATCCTCACCGGGCTCCCGATCACCGGAGATGCCATCATCGACAGCTCGAAAAAACAGGAAGATGGTTGGGGGCCGTTGATTCAAGAGCGTTTGGGGTTCAACATGCCGACCACCACGCCCGTCGACGGGGTTGGGCATCCACCACTGAATGCGGGGCAAGTATCGGTCTCGTGGCTTGTTGACCACATCCAAATGGAGGTTAATATAGGCCCGGACACTCCTGAAGATCAGGTGGAGCGGTATGCACGTGTCTACCTAATTGGTTTGGTTGGTGGGTTTCTGTCCCCCGACAAGTCAAACCGGTGGATACAAGGCATGTGGTTAAATATGCTCCTCGGTGACTAGGACGAGATCGGGAAAAAAGGTTGGGGGTCGGCCGTCTTGGCTGGGATCTACCGAGAGTTGTGTACTTGCTCGAGGTTGGGAGCGAAACAAGCTGGTGGTGCGATGTTTATACTCCAACTCTGGGCATGGGAGCATCTTCCGTTTTTAGCACCTCGAGACCCTCAGGAATTCTGGTTGCCAGATGATGAGCTACGATTTGTAGCAAATCCCCCATATGGTTTCAAGTAATTTTAATTTAAGTTTAATTTATTTTAGATATGCAATGGTAGTATTTTAGTGAATTTAGATCTATTCCAAGTAAGCGAATTTAGTGAATTTTAGTGAACTTAGATATCTTTAAAGTAAGCAAATTTAGTGACATTTTAGGTATGCAATTATAGTATTTTAGTGAATTTAGATATCTTCCAAGTTAGCAAATTTAGATTTATTCTAACCAAATCGTATTTAGCTAATTTAGATTATTGCCAAGTAAGGAATTTTAGTTCAATTTAGATGATTCCATACAATCATACTTAACAAGTAAACATCTATGCCATAAAAATTGCTTATATACGTACTTTTGCTTAATTAGGTGGATCGGAGCAAATACAAACGACCACCAGCCCGAACACTCTTTGCTGTTTTATCGTGCTGAATTCGATAAGCCTTGGTGGAACCAGGTAAAAATATAAAATTTCATCATTTTCAATTTTTTAGGTGGAGTGGATATAATTTGTACTAATTCCATGAACTATAATGATTGTAGGCGGTATGGGATCCATATCCAAATGAAGTGGTTGAGTTGCATCGTCTTAGACATCCCGAGGATGAAGAGACATGGTTGTGCAATGTGCCCTTAATCTGCTTCCACATGGTGGAATGGCACCTGCTCGATCGATCTTTGAGGCAATATTGATTGGAGCAACCAATTCCAGCATCCCCACCTCAAGGGTTCAGGGAGCTCCACGCCATTGACCTACGTCACACCAAAAAGGATTGGCTCAAGAAGCATGAATTCTACATCAACATATGGGAAAATAGAAATCAGTGGGTGGTCCAAAGGTTGCCGGAGACAAGGCCAATGGGGTACCACGATAGCTACATGTAGTGGTATCGAAATTTCACGCTAAGATGGGTGTCAAAGCAAGGTGTTGTTTGGGCGTAGTGGTAAGTGAATTCCATTTTGGCCTCTTTGTCTAAATTTTTGGAAGTATGATTACATGCCTATATTAGCTAGAATGTTAATTAATTAGTTAATTTTTGGAAGTATGATTACATGCCTATGTTAGTTAATTTTGTACAACAGTGTCTAAATTTTTGTATGATTACATGTCTAAATTTTTGGAAGTATGATTACGTGTCTAAATTTATGGAAGTATGATTACATGTCTAAATTTTTGGAAGTATGATTACATGCCTTTGTTAGATTTAAGGATGCCTCTTTGTCTTAATGTTAGTTAATTTTGTACAACAATTTATTAGGTTGACGGTTTGGAACATGCCAAGCACACTGTCGAGAGTGCACCCACCATGGATGAGCGGAAGACATCTTTTTTGCGCAGGCTTTTCAACAACCTGCTCTGTTGTACCCGAGAGCAAAGGAGGGATGTCGTATTATACCCTCCAATGCCTGCACCGCCCCGACCTTCATTCCGTGCTGATGAGAGGATCGTGCCCCCACAAGAGCCCCCACGGAGGAGCAGAAGAAGGGTGAGAAAAAACATTGAAGAGCTTCGTCCGTCTCAACAAACTCAACTTCCTGAACCATGGCCACATTGTGAGTGGGCAACTAGTACTGAGGGCACCGGAGGGTCGTCAAGCTATGCCCCGACTCAGGAACATGACATGTTCACCCAAGGCACCCCTCACTTCCACCATCAACAACAAACTACTCAGTATCAGACCCCGCTTCAACAACACACATCATCGACTTTCCACCACGCTTCTGGTTCATCTCAGCCATATCAACCCCCACCACCTGTCTACACTTCGGTGGGTGGTCGGGTTAAGAGGAATCCGCGAGTAGTTGTCCAGCGGGCTCGTGAAGAAGGAGGAGGTAGAGAAGGCGGAAGAAGGGGTCGAGGAAGTCGTGGAGGAAGAGGAAGAGGAAGAGAAGGGGAAGTGGAGGGAAATGAAGACAACCAGTGAACTATCTATGTCGTCTTAATTATGTTTGGTCTTGTGTTGTTTTCCATGAACTAAACATGTCATAGTTTGGGATTGTGTTGTTTTCCATGAACTATCTATGTCGTCTTAATTATGTTTGGTCTTGTGTTGTTTTCCATGAACTATCTATGTCGTCTTAATTTGGTTTGGGATTGTGTTGTTTTCCATGAACTATCTATGTCGTCTTAATTTAGTTTGGGATTGTGTTGATTTTCCCCCCATGTTGTACCAAAGTAAACAACAGACACCATTCATTACAATCACTCAACAAGATTAAAACAAGAAGTCCAACTTAAACATCACAACAACGAAAATGACAAGGAAGTGAACAAAAGAGTACTCAAGGTTGGTTTGTACTTGGCCCCGAATCTTGCTCTAGAGGTGGACCTGGACAACGCCTCTTGTCATGACCCGGTTGTCTGCAGAAGTACCTCCTCCGTAGTTACTTGAACTACCACCCCAGCCATACCCTCCTGCAAAACCATCATCACAAGAATACTGGTGAGAATGAGTTTCACCGACCGGCTCGGTCTCGACATACACCTCTGCAAGCCGCAACCCGTTGTCAGATAGGAACTGTATCATCATGTTCACCGAGCATCATCATTTATGACAACTTTTTCGTACATGACTCCGCCAGCACTCATGTTTGGATAGCGGTAGGCAATTTGACCAACTCTCCTTTGCCCGCCCGTACAAGTCCTTTCTGCACAAATGTCATGGAGTTCTTGCCACGAGAATCTCGACTCAATTTTTAGCATAGTGGATTCGCCATTTTCATAGTCGATGCCAATGTTCGAGTTTGTCACCCGATCATTCCACCGAATAATAAGCCGAAACTTCTTAAATTTACCCATGTTTGCAATTTATAATAATTAAGTATAGTATATAATTAGTACATTAGGGATACAAAAACAATATCATCCAAACCCATAAACAAACGCATGTAATTGATCTATCATGAGAAAACTAAACAAATTCATCTAAATTCATAACTAATTAACTAACATCTATCATATCATAATTAATCTAAATATACCATAACATATTTTCCAATAACCGCAATTCACTAAATACAGACATACAATTACTAACACATCAACATGTAAACAATACATAATTATAACATACCGACTCCCGATCTATCATGAGAAAACTAAACAAATTCATCTAAATTCATAACTAATTAACTAACATCTATCATATCATAATTAATCTAAATATATCATGATATATTTTCCAATAACCGCAATTCACTAAATACAGACATATAATTACTAACCCATCAACATGTAAACAATACATAATTATAACATACCGACTCCCGATCTATCATGAGAAAACTAAACAAATTCATCTAAATTCATAACTAATTAACTAACATCAATCATATCATAATTAATCTAAATATATCATAACATATTTTCCAATAACCGCAATTCACTAAATACAGACATATAAATTACTAACACATCAACATGTAAACATTACATAATTATAACATACCGAATCCCGACGAGTTTCTTGAGCAGTAAACCAACTCCAAACCAGCTGAGAAAACGACTAATAAAACACTAATTTTTGTACTAATTTTCTGTAAGGTAGCAACAGGGGAAGTGGAGGTCTGTATTTATAGGAAAATTATTTAGCAATCACCGCTGAGGACAATGACGGTGAACACATCACTGTTTTTGTCCAAAGCGGTGATAGCTAGGTAGCTGTGACCTAATTTCCCACCTACCAGGGCTCTAAAACGTGTCAATTTATCACCGCTTTAATCAATGGCAATGATATGATCGCTTTTGTCAACAGCGATGATAAGGTCGACTATCACCGTTTTGCAAAAACGCGGGGAACACATCACCGTATTTATTGAAAGCGATGATGCTATAACCGTTTTTGACCAAAACGGTGATTGCATCACCGTTTTGGTTCAAAGCGATGATGGTGATGATGTTCAAACTGCTGTATTTTGGGAAATAAGTTTATAAGTACTGTATTTTGGAAATTTTTTTTAATAATTAGAGTATTTTGGGATTTTTTCCAAAAGTTTGAGAGCAACATCGATCCTCCATGCATAAACAAATACATACAAAATCCATCGGCGATAACATCCGGTATTGAGGTCAAACCATTTGCTGATGCTGCAGGAAACTTCTTCGCTTCATGCCACAATCAACCGGAAGGAAGGAAGCAAAAGTCTATGCCCTTGCTATGCCTCCCCATAGTAGAATCAATCATAAGCATTTTGTAGCAAAGAAAGGCTGGCAGAAGTGTATATAGCTCACTCGAGGATCGAAGGGGTTGGCTTCTGGTGGATGCTTCATCAAAATCAGCCTGCCATCTCGACATCTGAAGGTGCTTTGTTAGCAGCAACTAGCAGATCATCATAGGTCAGCGGAGAATGCCTAGCCATATGCTGAAACACAACCTGCATCAACCCACGTATTATGTATATATCCAATGCAAGAGTCATTGCTCTCAATTCTCTCAAAGGAATTTGAATTTCCAAGAAAAACGCAAGGCAGTATGCCAACCAACCTTCGAATAACTATCTGCAAAAGCACGTCCTCGACTGCACTTCCCAATATACTTTAGATCTGCTTTCTCAAGCTTACCTTCCACAAAGCTTAACCCACCATCATTAATTGCACAGCGCACAAAATTCCCGGAATGCAGGCCTAACTGTTGGATGAACTCTGAATTCAGACGGGCAAAGATGATGGGAGGATCATCTGATGTAATCAGATTTCCATCCTCTTGTAGTTCCAATACCACCTTACCGAAAGGCAGATCATAATAAGGTGTCAATTTTCCAGCCATGTTTTTGCTTTCTTTTTACAAGGAAAAAAGAAGCAGGAGTAGAAAAACATAACAAATCAACCTTTGACAGGGGAAAAGAAAGTTAACTAAATGAAAAGAAACACACGCCGGAAAATGAAAATAGTACCTGTTGTTGGTCCGGCACCTGACCGGTGCTGTCTGTGTCAAGAACATATTGACTACATTTGACATCCTTCCATACTAATGCCAGGGGCGTATTCCCGCTTTGATAATGTGCATGCCTGAACAGCATCATCAATTCATCATCATTTGTACACTGTCAGTCAAGCCTAACACACTTACAGCAACACACTAACAGCCCAACTTAGCATCCTAGGTTATCTGTTTCTTCCAAGCATGACCTCACAGCCAAAAGTTGAGGCCATAGAGCACAAACATAGGGAAAATCATATGACCAGACCATAAGCAACAGAGAACCAAAACAAAGAGTATAATGGGAAGCAAATCATTTAATCAAATCAAACACACGTCAAAACCAACCAACCAAACACGGCACTCACTTGTTATAGAAAAGCAAACCGTCTTTAACATAAGGCGTTGCATCTGTATATGCAGCAGGCAGACCCTTCTCATGGGTGACTGCGCTGAATCTGTATTTATGGTAATAGGAAGGAGGGCCAGATGCCCCGCTCTCCTCAAGCTTGGAATTCAGCCAGTAGAACCTGAAGTCGGCCGGGCAGTCGTAATAAGAGCAGCCTCCCCAGCAAACCATGTCTATCACATAGTATGTTTGATCGCCCTAATTTTTGTAGACCAATGACCAAAATTCAGAGAAACCCTCCAATAAACTAAGCTTGAGAAATCTGCTCTCATAGAGATGAAGCGCACCTCGTGAAATATGCAGTCGAGAATGGAATAGGAATGTGCAGGCCCTGATGGTTCTCTCGTCTTCGCCCCGTTTGGGAGAGCAGAAGGGAAACAATGCAAGATCGACCCGTTCCGTTGCCTGCTAACCGTCGTTCCATTTGAGGCAACGACGAAGCAGCGCTTCCCTGCCGGCCTGGCGAAGACGTACCTGCATAAAAATTAAGCACAAAATATTTTACAACTCCACTCAAAGAGAAAACAGTCGAACAGGCGGCGGGCGAACTTTTGCGAACCAGTCTTGACTCAAGTTATCGGGTATGTCAATCATCCATTCCGGAAGCATCAGCTGTCTGGCGAACCAATTGCGAACTTGCTCTCCTCTCATCCTAGACGCCCTCCGGATATCGAGCTCCTTCGGCGGAGCTTCAGATTCTTCCAGGTAGGGTTCGAGCACAACATCAGCATCATCGGGTTCTTGAGATTGAAGAGAGATAATGGTGGATGCCAAATTACGCACTCGCTGCTGGGCATCATGTCGGGACTGCGCTTGCCTCTCTAATGTCAACTCTCGACGCCTCTGTTGATCGGAGACCGCCGCTCTCTTGAACGGACGGCGGAAATCTGGCGGTGCCATTGTGAGTGGAATGAATCAGCGATTCCCGTTTTTTACTTTTTAGCCAGCGGCGGTTCATTTATTAGACTCTCGGAATTGAAAACGGCGCCGTGTGGCATTCGAGAGTTGCAACGTTTTATCAGTTCGGTAAGTGGTTAATTTGTAGGTTAACCACTAACCACCAGTCAAGGTTGTCAAACCGGTTTATGCCGGTACGCCGGTTTTACAAGTGGAATGGTTCTATCGTGGTAGAACCAGTTTCATGCCGGTTATGCCGGTTTTACCAAAATTTCTGAATATGAATATAATAACCCATCACAAAAAATATATCTAAAATACATCCATAATTGAATTAGGACAAGATTAGATACCAACTCACAAATGTTCATAAGTTAATGTTAACATCTAAATGCTCACAGTTAAATCCAACAAACGCCACATAACATTCATAGTTTAAAGTACATGACCAAACATTCTCAAAGATAACATCACCTAAACATTCAACAAACATCACCCAAATGTTCAAAATACATAATCAAACATCCTCAAAGAGAAAACCATCCATCTTCATCTCCATTGCGTCAATGATTTGAGTAAGATCGAAATCGATTTCATCATTCACATCATAATCAAGTACTCTGCACCAAACCACAAAACCATATATATGATTGTTAATAATGACAAGTTCACTATTATAACAAGAATGAATTTACTTTAAATTATAATATACTAAGCCAACCTTCAACACGAGGACGCTTTCTAGACGAGGATGATGATTCCCCTGCTCCTCCTCCTCATAGAGAGCCTTTTCAATCTCCTCATAATCAATGTCTGCAGGTGGATCTTCCTCTACAATCTAAAAATCAATCTTATCCAATTGCTCATAGTCAATTGGATCTCTCTTCCACTCTTTCTTCTAGCACCTAAAAATCAAAGAAGATGAAACAATTAAGTATATAAAGTACTAATAAGTTTCACAATGTAACATGCAAAAAAATATATATATATATATATTACCTAAACTCAATCTCAGCTTGTATGTCCCATAAACAAGATCGTTTAATCTCTGGTGCTCCAATCGATTCCTCCGCTTGCTATGAATTTGGTCAAATACACTCCAATTTCGCTCACAACCAGAAGCTGGTGATGTTTGAGACAAAAGTCGTATAGCAACTCTTTGCAAATTTGGAGCATCATCTCCATATAGTGTCCACCATTCAGCTACATTCAGGTATATAAGTTCTAATAAGCAAATCCTATTTGACAAGATATACAGAAAATAAATAATAGAGTCATTAAAATTGATTACCTGGAGGTAAAGTAGTAGCACACGAGATAGCTGATTTTTTACCAAAGCTCCCAAGTCTTTCTCTAAAAAGTCTAATCTCCTTAATTGCTTCATCAGCATCCTCACATAAGCCTTCATTCTCAAGGAGATCAACAAGCAAACCTTGTACTCCACGCTCAGCTCGACATTCTGGGGTATATTGAAAAATGGGATTCAAGAAATAGGCAGCTACATAGATGCTATGTCAAAGATGCTTATCCCATCTAGCATCAATTAACCTCATAAAAGGATCAGCTCCTTTTCCATTTCTCATGAAAGTGTTCTTGATAGCACTCTTAATCCGATTCATTCCGTCATAAACATATCCCGAAGATGGCTGCTCATCAGAATAAAAAATCATCAACAACTTCATAATTGGCAATGTCAACTTCACAATTATCAAACACTCTTGCCAGAAGTTGTTATCCAACACAACACACTTGACAAATTTTCCCTCTTTACTTTTCCCCAACTTGTGATTTGCAAAAAAAAAAAAAAAAAAAAAAAAACCCACTAGTGACAAGTTGCTCCAACAAAGACCTATTATCATAGAGACTTTTCAAGCAAACGAAATGAGTAGCAAACTGAGTAGCTCCTGGTCGTGCAATTTGCTTCCAACCCTCTAACTTTTTCAGAAAAGCTAAGATTGGGAGATGAATATATACAAACACAGTAATCTTTTGAGCTCGAGTGACTAAGCTTGAAACATGGTTCATCTTGTAGATATCTTTCAGCAAAAGATTGATAACATGTGCCATACATGGAGACCAAAAGATTGTGATATACTTCTCATGAATCAACTTACCCGCAGAAACATAGTTAGGTGCATTGTCTGTAACAAAGTGCACAATATTCTTCGGTCCAATCAATTTAATCACATCACCAAACAACTCAGCCAAATTATTTTCATCTTTAACCATATTTGATGCATCCACAGATTTGATGAAACATACACCCTTTGGACAATAGACTAAGCAGTTAATCAATGATCTTTGACTCATATCAGTCCAACCATCAACCATTAAAGTGCATCCAGTATTTTCCCAACTCCTTTGATAATCATGTATAATTGTCGTGCATTCTTCTTTGACATCTCTTAATAAAGGCACTCTCAATTGGTGATAAGAAGGTACCTTATATCCAGGCCTACGGCAGCTGCTGCATCATATGATAACTGATAATATTCCGAGTGTGCAGCGTTGAATGGAAGCTTTGCATGATAAAACCACTTAGCCACCATGAGGTCTGCATGCTTCTTTGACTCTTTTCCTGCGAAAGCACTCCGAATACCAGGTTGAGCTCCTGGTCTTGTTCTTGGAGCAAAGAAATTAGGAGTTGTTGCAGCGCTTTCCCTTGTACTACACCTGTACTACCTTGCTCCTCAGAATCATCAACATTAACCCTTTCAATAGGCGTTGATTTAGTAGACGCCTTAAGTAAAGCCTTGAACCTCTCACGAATATCATGGCTAACTTGAGGACAAGGACCAACTTGACCCCTTTCTCTGGCTAAATGTTGCTTCACTCTCGTAATTCCTCCACCTTTTATAATACGAGTGCACTGTTTGCACTTGTTCCACAACTTCCCATCTTTAGTTCTGATTTCTTTGGCATACTCCCAAGTAGGATCTTCTTTTGAGCGAACTATGGAAGAAGAACGAGCATTACTACTTGCCACAGATGGTTGACTTGATGCATTGCCGGAGTCCATCTACTTTGATATGTAAAATTGAACATGGACTTTACCAAATGGAGATCATGGAATTTCTGATGCTCATAACGAATACTCAAATTATTCATTATATGCCTTGGATCTTAGCCATAATCATATCAATGGTACCATCCCGAGATGGATCTCTCTACTGCCTGCATTGGAGTATATTTTACTGAACAACAACGAGCTTTATGGTAAAGTTTCTACACCTTTTGTTTATAATTTGTTTGTAAAATTGAACAACAAATTGGAGATTTAAGAACAGAGTCGTTACTTGAGGCGAGGGCTGGAGGTGAATTGAGGAAGAAGGTGGCCTGTTGGGTGCCACTCGATCGTCGCGCATAGCTAGAAGAAGGGCTATCGCGTTTCGTGCCTCGCCGGAAAAACTTTCTGCTGGCGAATCGAGGCGTCGGCGGAAGAAGTTGTGCTGAGGGGAAGATGAACGCGACGATGGGCTGCTGTCCAATCGAGAGACCTCGCCGGAGGATTTTGTTGCCCGGGCTGCTGTCGAATCGAGACGCGCCGGAAGGAGGCCACGCCAGAAGGAGGTCGCGCCGAAAGGAGCTGGAACAGGGCACATGCATGAGGTCGAGACTGGTGGGCGTCTGGGCGAGGGGAAGTGAAGAATGGGATGTGATTTGGACTTGGGTGGAACGGCCTGCGAAACCCTACAAATTTTTACCAAAACTTCCTCGTTTTAGGCCTTTGGCCGACATCATGCCGGTTGAACCACCGGAATTCCCGGTTTTAACTGGCTTTGACCGGTATTGACTTGAGGGTTGTGTCGGTGGTATTCCAGCCGGTTTCATGACCGATGCAGTTGGACCTGGTTCAACCGGCCGGCATACCACTGGCATGACAACCATGCCACCAGCTGGCATTCCAACTGTAGCAATTATGTCTAACTTAAAAATAAATTTACAAAATAGTCAAACACAAATCATCTCCAAATAAGTTTAATAACTATAGTTTATCCATCAATTCAAATTCGTAAACATAAATCATCATTAATCAACCAGGGATAGTGCCTGCGTGCAAAGTATACGGAAGGTCATAGTGATAATCATCATAAAACGTTGCATGGGTCTGTTGGGCCTTGTTTGATTGGGTTTTAATCGTGTAGGATTATTTGGGTTCGTAGAGAGCTAAGAAAGGTGATGTGCAGCTGAGTCTACAAGATTAGTCTGTTCGTTTATTAGTTCCTGAAATTCAAGGTGGAAGTACTAAGATCGATGTCCCAATTTTGTCCCATAGGACTCTGCAATGTTACCTATAATGCTTTAGTAAAATGTCTAGACAAACGGCATAAAGCTCTAATTCAAGGACTTGTAGATCCGAACTAGACCAGTTTCCTGCCCAAACGCCAAATAACCGACAACATCATCATTCTTCAATAAACATGTCATTGAGAACTGATACTAAGGGGCTCATGATTTTGAAGATTAACTTGTTTGTAGCTTACGACCACATCGATTGGATATTTATGGAACAAACCCTCATAACTGCAAGCCTCCCACCAGAGTTTGTAACCCTGGTCATGGCTTGCATCACCACTCCTTGGTTTCAATCCTTCAAAAGGTCTTTCTTAGAGAAATTATCTGTCACCCTATCTTTTTTACTTTATGCATTGAATGTTTGAACCATTGCATTCAAGAGGCTATCTAGGAGTGCCCATCAGAGCCTATTCCTCTTGGGAGGACAGACCCTCCATTGACTCGTCTCCTTTTCGCAGACGATCTTTTTTTTTTTTTTTTTTTTTTTTTGCTGAGGCGAACCATAAACAGGGCATGTTCATTCAAGCATGCCTGGACAGATTCTTGTTTGCTTCTGCAGAGAAACTAAGCAAGGAAAAATCTTGTGTTTACTTATCAAAAGAACACGGAAGATGTTGTCAATAAAAAGATCAACGACTTACTTGGGATCAAGCCAACCAACAACTTGGGGTGCTACCTTGGGGTTCTAGTCATCCACGACCTATTCA